CATGATTAACAGTATTGAACGCCTTTTTTAGGTCTAAAAAACTCCGAGTGCATACCTCTTATTGTCCATACAGTCCGTTATCTTTTCCATTAAATCTATCAATGCCAAAGCTGTTGATCTGTTGCGTCTGAACCCAAATTGGCTATCTGTCAGTAATTCATATTTTTCCACAAAACTGTCAGATCTTTTTATGAACAGTTTTTCCAGTATCTTAGAGAACTGGGAGAGTGTCGACATGGATCTATAGTTTGTAAAATGATGCCTTTCACCGGTTTTGTAAATGGGAATAACTTTAGCAACTTTCATATCTTGTGGAAAAAACCCCTTTTGAAATGACAAATTGAATATAAATGTTAATGGTTTTACAATACCGTCAATAACTGTTTTTACTGTTACCATATCAATATCATTCCAGTCTGTGCTGGTTTTGTTCTTAAGTCCTCTAACTATGTCATAGATCTCTTTCTCTTCCGCTGCTCTCAAAAACATTGAGCTTCTATTCCTTTCAATATTTTCACCAATGTCCCTTTCTGTTCCATCAACCTTTATTTCTTCTGCCAGTTTTGGCCCTATGTTTACAAAGAATTCATTAAAACCATTTCCTATTATCAATGCTTCTTGTCCCTTCCATAAAGTACCCAGGGTAATCATTATTCCTTGATTCATTTTTGATTATGCTGTTTAATACCTTTCATATATCTCTTGTGTTATCTTTATTATGTTGTAACCTTTTAATGAAATACTCTCTTTTACATGATCTCATTATATTAATTAATTTATTTTTGTAATTTTTATACTTCCTTTCAGTCTCTATTGTTCTCTTTTTTTATGAATTCTCGATATGGGGTATTCTTTTTTTTTGCTGGCATTTTGTAGCCTAGTGAACTAGACCAAATTCTTGCTTTGCAAAGAATGGTCTAGGCATGCTCCATTGGAACCTCAGCAGCTCCTACCAGGACTCTGGCTAGCCAATCACAGCTCTCTAGAGGGATTTCAAACACATAAAGAGCTGTGATTGGTCCGTAATCGTGGGCCAATCATAGTGCTCTATCTGCTTAGTGAACAAATCACAGAGCTTTGTCCGCTTTGTGGGCCAATCAGAGCACTCTATATGCCTGGTGGGTGGGATGATGCAACAGAGTGAAACAAGAGTATGTCACATTCATTGTCCAGTGGAATGCGGAGATCATTTGAAAGACAACTGTAGAACCCGCCCCACAACCGAGAGCCGTCAATGGAGCATGGCCAGACTAAATAATACATTTATTTAGTCTGGCTTGCCAGGCTAGGCATTTTGTAGTCCTTTAGTCATCCATGGTCTTCCTGCATAGCTGTGTTTCCTGTTGATTTCAATTACTGGGCAGTTTTTATCATGTGTTAAATGTTCTTAAAAATACTTCATACGCTTTGTTAACTTCTGTTTGTATCTTGTTTTAAGAGTTCATTTCTAAGACAGTTTAATGTCCTCTCTGTTCTTATTCTTTTGTTCATAATCTTGTGCCCATCATTGTTCACTTTATGGTGGCAATTATAAGACGCAAAGACTGGTAAATGGTCAGTTATATCGTTGATTAACAGCCCAATTTTACATTTTCTTCTATTATATTTGTAAATATATTATCTATTAGAGTTGCACAATGAGATGTTATTCTGGTCGATCTTGTTATCAGTGGAAATAAACCCATGCTGTACATGGAATCAATAAATTCTTCTGTACTCTTATTATGATTTGGATTCAATTAGCCAGTATTAAAATCCCCACAAATAAACATTCTTTTCTGATTAATATTTGTAAATAATTCCTCCATATAATCCTTAAATATCTCAATCTTGGATCCTAGTGTTCTGTATATACAACTGACAATTAAGTTTTTCCCTTTTTCCATACTTATTTCCACTGTTAAACATTCCATCATTCCATCAACAACAGTTGTCATTCTTCCCATTCTTTCATATTTTAGGTTTTTATTAATGTAAAGTGCCCCCCCCCCCCCCCCCCCCCGTTGATCCTGTCTACATGAATAATTCATATCCATTTATTTTAAAGTCTTCTTCTCCAGGAGTTATCCAGGTCTCTGATATGGCTATTACCTTGAATGCTGTTCAAACGGTGTTGTATAGTCTTTTATGGCTTGAAAGTTTACATATAAGCTTCGACTATTAAAGTGAACCATTGTTATTCCCTTTTCTACCTTGATTGTCTTTTTACGTTGCTCATTTGAATAATAATTGCATTCATTTGTCTTACTGTTAAAGAAATTACAATCAGGATCTATATTGCTGTCATACCCCAATGTCTTATTTTCATTATCTGTATGAGTTGTCAGTTGTAAACTGTCAGCCATCTGAGTTGGTTGTGCATCTTAGATCTTCCCCTCATATTTCACTCTAATTTGCGTACTGATTTATCAGTTATATTTTTCTAGTTCCGTCATCTCTTTGATGACTAGAACCTTAGCCTGCTCTGGTGTTCCATTCAACTTAATGAATATTTTACAGTCTGATGTCTAAGCTGCCTGTATTTTCTTCTGTTTTCTCAAAACTCTTGCTTGTCTTGTTATGTCTGCATTTTTCTTGATTAGGTGTTCATTTAAATATACATTTGTACCTCTTAGCTTTCTTCCTTGTTTGAGCAGTTCTTTTTTCTGTTTTCTATTAACAAAACGAATGATAATGGCAGGTAATTGCTTTTTGTTTTTCCTTGGAAGAGGATGACATCCCTCAATATTATTACTGTCCATTTCAATACCCTTGCTGTTGAAGAAATGCATTACCTGCTCTTCCAGAGTGCGTAGTTCTTGCTCAGGTGGCTCTCCTTTTTCTGAAGCTGCCACCCGTGCATATGTTTGATGCTTGGTTTCCAGTCCTGTCACTTTCACATCATTTACTCTTGTATATTGTTCCAGATCTGACACTCGTCCTTCCAGCATAGCGATCTTCTTGTCCTTGTCCTTGCTCAGCCTTCTTAGTTCTTTAATGTCATCCATTAAATTAAGTATCAATTTTTGTTGTTTTGAAATTGTTATTTCTTCTGACATAAAGTTTAGTGATTTCTTTATGTCTTCCAGTTCCTCCTCATTAATGTTGCTCCTCTTAGGTGGCGTCTTAGCGTTAAGAGCCGCTGGTTGTGAAGCCGGCGTGGTCTGTCAGCTAGCCTCGTTAGTTGGTGGTGGAGCCTGTTGGCTAGACCCAGAGGCTGGTGGTGGAGCCTGTTGGCTAGACCCAGAGGCTGGTGGTGGAGCCTGTTGGCTAGACCCAGAGGCTGGTGGTGGAGCCTGTTGGCTAGACCCAGAGGCTGGTGGTGGAGCCTGTTGGCTAGGACCAGAGACTGGTGGTGGAGCCTGTTGGCTAGGACCAGAGACTGGTGGTGGAGCCCATTGGCTGGGTCCCGAGGCTGGTGGTGGAGCCTGTGGCTAGGCCCAGAGGCTGGTGGTGGAGCCTGTTGGCCAGACCCAGAGGCTGGTGGTGGAGCCTGTTGGCCAGACCCAGAGGCTGGTGGTGGAGCCCGAGTAGAGCCTGGTCTGGTAGCTGGAACAGAACTTGTCGCTGGAACAGAGCCTGGTCTGGTAGCTGGAGCAGCTCCCACATATGAAAAGGTAGAAGCATTAAAATTGATTCAATTGGCTTTTTGATCCGTTAGCTTCTGAAAGTTCAAGATTTCCTCCAGCCCTTACACATCAGCTGTGTATCTGAAGCTTACTTTTTAGTCTGTGTTCTAGATCAGGGCTATTCAATTTCGGTCCTGGAGGGCCGGTATCCAGCAGGCTTTATTTTTAACTCTGCTTCAACACATCTGATTTCAATCAGCAGGCGATTAACAGGCTTCTGCAGAGCCTGAGGAGCTACCGAACAAGATATTCAACCACTAAAATGTGCTGGATACCGTGTCGGTACAGGATCTGCTCGGGTGCAGGATCAGCTCAGGGTCCATCGACTGCCGATGACGTCAAAGTAGTTGATTGGCTGAACACGAAGCTTACGGAAGTTACGTTATCACGTTATGATTTTAATTGGACAGAACAAATTTGCAGTCGTAGTCTTAGCGGTTGTAGTCCTGTAGTCCAAAAATCAACACTTTTTGGAAAAAATATGTTTGAATTTCTAAAGGAAATGTAAAATATAAGCAAATGATAAATGGTGACCCTCAAAAGCTCTTGATGTTGATGAAATGGGGCAAAATAAAATAGAAGAACTTTATTGAAAGACACCAAGGAATATTTTGAATCAAAGAATGTATTTAGATAACAACTAAGGAAATGTACAGACGAACTCCACATTAATACAAACAGATATGGCTTCACATATAAGAACTGTTATATTTGTCAGTCCGATGTTGGTTTTATGCAGTTTCACATTCTTTACAAAACAAATATGGTGTTTTATTAACAAATTACAATTATGAAGAAAACATTTAGGTGTTAACAAACAAGAATTTATTAACAAAACTGCTGATGTCTTTCCAAAACTTATGTGTGAAAGCCGAGTAGATTTGCAGTAATGTGTTGTCATCAGCACTCGAAGGACCCCGAGCCGATGTACCGACACCGGCCCTGCAGGCCCGGATCTTTGTACGTGTGTGTGTGTGTGTGTGTGTGGCTACCACAGTTTTGACTTCAGGAGCCACTGGTGGTTACAGTGGTGACTCTAATGAGCCACTGGCAGCAGCTTTAACATTTGTTTAGGTTGTTTTTACACTTTTCAACAGTTTATTAACCAGCTTTATGTTGATTGCAGCTGATGTTAACATTTTGAGCAGGAGCTACATGCAACAACTGTCACTTAACTTGGTTTTCTGAAGTTTGCTGCTAAACGCAGATGATATTTAGCGTCATTAATGAAAACTGTGAAAGAAGTGAGTGAAGACACCTGAAGTGTCTCGTTTAGATTGTAAAAAACAACAAAAGTTTCTGCCTCATCACAAACACACACTGAGACAGACACACTCAGTTTTAATATGCAGATGTGACTGCACTAATGTGATCCTGCGTCTGTTTCCCCAGAGGGAGACAGCGGGGGACGCGTCAGAGTCAGCCCTGTTGAAATGCATCGAGGTGTGTCGTGGGAGTGTTTCTGACATGAGAGCCAGAAACCCCAAAGTAGCAGAAATCCCCTTCAACTCCACCAACAAGTACCAGGTAAGCACCAACGTCTCGTTCAGGGAAAATCCAGCCTTTCTAATATTCACTGTTTGCGTTTAGTTTTAGAGTCTTGTTTCCTTTAAAACTGCATTTCATATAAAAGGAATTTGTTGTCGACTTTCCTGAGGGACAGATTCATATTCCACCTGGTCCAAATGAAACAGGATGGAACATGATGTAATTTAAGACTAGAGCTAGAGTGTTTTACTCGTACAGTGACTTCTGTTGGATTTTAACCCACTCGGTCAACTCTTTTTTAACTTTTAGTGTGAATTTATTTGGTTTATGTGTGGAATTTATGCACTACCATTTAATATTGTTACTGTTCAGCTGATATACAGACAAATATGCACATTTCTACTTTCCAGATTTCATGATTATTCAATTAAATTTTTCTTTTAAATATTTTGAAATTCTTCTTTTGGAATTTCCTAACAAACCAATTCCACATCTACATTTCTGTGCAACTTTTTAAATTGACATTGTAAAAACAGTTTAGTTTTGTTTCACATTTGTGTGACAGACACAGAAAAAACACATCTGCTGCACAATAGTAAACATGTTTGTTCCTTTCTTTTAACAACAAGCTAGGAAGCACCTGACATCTGCGTTATACGTCCGTTATGTTAGCAGTGAAAAAGCTGATGTTTGGGATGAAGATCCACCATAAATCACAGGATGTAAAAGCTCCAGTCTGTCAGTGATTAAACGACTCAGAAGGAAGGCTCAGAACACTGAGAGCAACACTTTTTCTCCAAATTAACTCCTGTTGCACCTACAGAAATCCCTTCATTGAAATTTCTGTATCTGTCTAAGTTACAGAGCTGTCAGCTTGTCCGTAACGTCTGCCTCTTCTCCTTGAAGCCGGTGTCTGCTTTGATTTCTCTCCTCTGTTTTTACCTGCAACGTTGTTGTTGTTGTTGTTGGGAAAACACCCTGATTTTAGTGCATGACAGGGAAAGTGACACAACAAGGAGCTCGAGTCCCAGCTTTGCTTCTGCTCCCCAGAGGAGAGGAGAGAAACGCTGCAAACAGACTCTGCAAATTATTCATGTAGAGACTCATGAGCACACATGCAGCTGGAGAGGCTTTTACCGGCCGCTAATAACGTGTGGCTGGTAATTAAAATATAAAGCACACAGCTAATCAGGCTAATCAGCTAAACCTGCAAGATGATGTGATGTCATCATGACTTTGTAGAGCTAATTCACTGTCAGTGCACTTTGTTTTAAGATCCAGATGTTTCACACACGACTCATCAGATGTGACTTTCAGTTTAGAATCTTTTAGGACTAAAATCGCCCAGAGCAAGAAAAAAAAAATCTCCAATAAAAATAAATGTTTAGAACTGAAAAAAATCACAATTTTATTTGAGGGCATTCACACTTTTTACACGATTTTGCTTTACAAACAACTAAATGCACAACTCTTCATGGCTGAACCATTTTGGATCACTTGGGTGTGATATAAGCAAGGGCGTCAGTTTGTTTTCAGAATTGCTGGGGACAATAACCATACACTTGAGTGGGGTTTAAAAATTGCTGGGGACAATAAAGTAGGCTAGCACAGGGGTCGGCAATCCGCGGCTCTGGAGCCGCATGCGGCTCTTCCATCCATCTGATGCAACTCTCTGTGCTTGTAAAATAATAAATGGATATTTAAATAAAATGCTTTATATTTTACTGCATTAATTTTACACCTGTATGCCAATTCTAAATGTAAAGATTGCCTGCGTAAACCTGAACAGGTCCAACCCGGTCTGCGGTGGTTGACCGGTCACGCTTGTGCGTAATCATATGGGCACTTTATGAGCTGAAGAGGATGTGAGATTCTGGGCTTCTCCTCAGACGGCTCCTGGATGTGTCGCCACATTGGAGCCAGGAACAAGCGCTATTCAGCCAAAGTTTCATCATCAGGGAACATTTTCTAAGTGACAAGTCTCTCTGAGAGACAGGGTTTGGAAAACACTCGCTTCAGTGGGAGGAATCTTCCCGCATGCGCACTGCATGGTTCTCTGCGTGGCTCTGGGGTTAATCAAGTTTAATTGTTTCTCTTTGCAAAAATCTTCACAGGAAGGCAAAACAGTTAAACGGCAGGTTACATATATTTCCATTTGACTGTTTATTTTGACAGATGTACTCAAGGATGTTGCTTGGTTTGAAAAAATTACCCCGACGCACACTGATGCTCATGGATGAGCTGACATTTTAATCGTTAACGCACACGCGGAGGTAAAATATTCCCATCAGAACATCAGAGCTCTTTATACTGGACACTGTGTTCAGCGCGGCTCGGAGCGCCCCCGGTGGACAGTGAGCTGAAGATCTGGGGTTCGCAGTGCAGCGCAGTGCAGAACCACGCGCATGCGATGATTTCCTCCCACTGAAGCGTTCTGGAAACCCGGTCTCTCTGAGGGATGTGTCACTTGGAAAATGTTCTTTTTATGAAATTATGAAACTTTGGCTGAACAGCGCTTGTTCCCGTCTAGTTCCGCATGATGCGTAGAGACATTTGATCACGCACAAAGTTCATGTGGAGCAGAAGCGGTCGGGCCACGGCAGATGAAACGTTCCTAGCCTACATGAAGTGAAACTGTTTAATTGTAACATTAATATGTTACTGGACACGCTGGTCTGGTTGGTTAGACCAGTGTTTGAAGTGGAAAACACACACACACACACACACACACACACACACACACACACACTCACTCACTCACTCACTCACTCACTCACACACACACACACACACACACACACACACACACACACACACACACACACACACACACACACACACACACACACACACACACACCAATTAAAATATAAAATAATGCTGATAGCGTGGACTAGAAGACAGGTGATGGTTTACGTATTTAAATGATGATCAGGCTGCTGTAAAATGTAATCTCCATCCACATCCAGACACAATTATCCTCTAGTCTTTCTCTAGTCGCTCTGCTCTTGTCTGGGCTGATCAGCTGATGGTGCGCGCGCCTAACTAGCGGCTGATGCACATTTTACGCATTTGGAGAGGTGGACTGGATGCTGTGCGTTTACTGGAAGATGGTCCACTTAACGCACGGGTGTAGACTACATATTAATGACAAATGAATGAAAATTAAATTGTGAGTTTTTACTTCATATTTTAGTAATAAAAATGACGGGGGAACACATTTATGACATCTTTTTAAACGAAATTTTCTAGCGCGACCTGCCTGCTTCACTTAAGTCACTGCTTATTAAGGTCCGTCCAAAATTACCGTGGGAAACGGGTAATAATGGTTCTTTGATGGGAACAGGGTGCCGACCCCTGGATAAGATCTGAGCTGGTAAAACAAAAATCCTCATCAGCAGGCGTTTTTGAAAGTGGGGGGGACACAGCTGCCAATCACAAATTTTGCCGGGGACATGTCCCCGGCGTCCCCGGTTAAAATGACGCCTATGGATATAAGTCCTGATTTGCAGCCTGAAACGGAATCAGCTCCTCTAAGTTCGAGACCATGGTCTTGAGTCGGAAAAGGGTAGAATGTCTTCTCCTGGTCAGAGATGAGGTCCTGCCTCAAGTGGAGGAGTTTAAGTATCTCGGGGTCTTGTTCACAAGAGAGGGAAAGCTGGAGCGTGAGATCGACAGGCGGATGGGTGCTGCGTCTGCAGTGGTGCGGGCGTTGCACCGGTCTGTCATGGTGAAGAGAGAGCTGACTCGGAAGGAGAAGCTCTCGACTTACCGGTCGATCTACGTTCCTACCCTCACCTATGGTCACGAGCTTTGGGTAGTGACCGAAAGAACGAGATCGCGGATACAAGCGGCCGAAATGAGTTTTCTCCGCAGGGTGGCTGGGCCCTCCCTTAGGGTAAGAAGCTCGGTTATTCGGGAGGGGCTCAGAGTAGATCTGCTGCTCCTCCACGTCGAGGAGTTGAGGTGGCTTGAGGATCTGGATATGTTGCCTCCTGGTAAACAAAATAAAAGTAAGAAAACCAAAAATTTAAATCTAAAAAATGTCTAAAAATTAATTAGTAAAAGAAAAAGAAAAAATGTAATAGCAACCAATAGATTCAAGAGTTAACTTAACTGCTGTAAGCAAGTGGCTTAAATAATTAAACTGCTCTGATTTTCTAATTTTGCTGAATAAAAAACCTTTTATAGAGTCCTTAACCTTCTGCATTGCAGGGGTCCTCATCTACAGGGCCAAGGTGCAGTACATGGATCTTTCAGCAGGATGCAGAGTAAAAATAAAAACTTCTTCAGAAGAAAAAAATAGTTTTAAGGGCCTTCACGAGTTTTATTTGAAAAAACAACTATGATATTGTATAATAGTGATTAAATAGGAATTAAATGCATAACAACTAAATTCCTTCTGTATGTAAAATAATTAAATTCAACATGCACTAATGCATTGTGTTGAGTTGTTTTTGAGAATTTTGGGACCTATTTTATAAAATTTGATCTAAAACAGCTCCAGTCTAGAAGAAATGTACACGAATGCTTTGATCTAACTTTTATAGCATGCTACTCCTATATCAGACATTTAAAGTCATCCAAACTGCGTGTGGCTCAACATGAAGATCAGAGGAACAGATGATTAAAGGAAAATAGGTTTGAGTAGTTTTAGAGGTTAAATTAATTCTCCTTCTGCTGCCTGCAGCCTCATTTAAAAAAGAGCTCAAATGTATGTTTATTCAACAAAATGTGTTCCAAAGGCCTTAGCCTTTGTGTATTTTACATTTTCATCCTAAAATATTTCAATTTTGCATATTGTCATTAGTTTTTCACATTTTCATTCAGCATGATATATCCGGTGGAGTCTGGAGTAAAAAAAAACTGCTGAATTCTGTGAGAGCTGTATAATGACATCAGCCAGACTTTTAGCGCTTTGCTCAAGAGCACAGCAACAATTAAAGCTTGTTGATGACTGCATGCTTTGCAGTGTTCCTCAGCCTGCTAGGAAACAGACGACCACAGCAGCAATGCCTGTGTTAAGGAGGAACGGAAAAAAGCTATTGTGCTGCTTTTCTGAGATTAGATGTGCCGTGACTCAGATACAAGCTATTCCGGGGATGGATGCTGCATGAACAGAGGACACACCCATCACTCTCACTCTGTCAAAAAGAAGGAAAACTCACAAATTTAGCAATTACATAAAAACATTCCTCTGATTGAACTTACTTCATTCCTGTAACCAAATAATGCTGCAGACTTTCCACCCTAATAATCCTGTTATTTTCTCCTTTTTCTTCCTTCAAGCTCTCCATCCACGAAGTGGAGGACAATTCCTCTGGTCATCTTCTGGTCATGAAAGGTGCTCCTGAGAGAATCCTGGACAGGTTTGTTTATCAATAATTGATTGATCTGCACCCAGGAAGGAGAACCGAGCTTAAAATCTAGTTGTTTACCATTTCCAGTTGTGCTGCAGAGAAAGAACAATGTCAGCAAAAAGAAACGAGTAAAAGGATGCAGCAGCGCATCTTCTTCATCTGGGCTCTAAACGGTTGTCTTAAAGCTCCGAAACAAGGTCATGCCACCACTTTTTATGAACTTTGCAACACCGTCCTCTCAGCTTGAGCAGTTTACTTAGATTTAATCACACACACACACACACACACACACACACACACACACACACACACACACACACACACACACACACACACACACACACACACACACACACACACACACACACACACACACACACACACACACACACACACACACACCATCTTGCTCCTGGAACGTGTCGCCGCAGCAACAGCTGTTATTAATCTACTGGTGGAAATAGTCTGCAGCAAAAGCTCCGTGCCCTCATGCTGAAGGGAGAAAAATATCTCAGGATGCTTTCATTTATACACAACTGAAACGTTTCGTCGTCTGAACTCACTGGGAATGTTAACTTTCACCATTTATCACGAAAAAATAAACCAAATGAAGTCAAATACGAGTAAAAATATCAGATTAAACTTACATCTTTGTGTATTAAACCAATTTATACAGTAAAAAAATGCTAATTTCAGATTTTTTTAATGTTTATTGAATAATTTTTTTTTTTTTTTTTGCAAAACATTGAAAATAATAGTTCAGTCGTCAGCTGTCAGAGTGGAGAATTAGAGAAATCTTACATTTTCAGTTACTATAAAATCTTATTTATTTATTAATTACCTGATAGTTCATCTACTCGGCTGGAGAACATGTTTTTGTAAAATAATTACAAGTTGACAGATGTTAAGGCAAGCATTATTAACCGTTATGGGTGTCTAATTAGGTTATAAAGTAGGGAACAAAAATACAAATCTAATTACTGATACGCTGCAGACATATGGTTGTAGTCTGAAATCGTGTGTGTGTGTGTGTGTGTGTGTGTGTGTGTGTGTGTGTGAGAGAGAGAGAGAGAGAGGTGAACATTTAGCTGTGTTTAGGATGAAGTGAGTGGAGCTGGAGCGCTGCATCTGTGGCTGATGTTGTTTTTCTTACACTAATTGCCAACCTTTTGTACTAAAACTAGAACAAACTTCACTTTTAGGCCAAATTCGGTCCGATTTCAACCAACAAGCTGACTGAGTCTAAATCCAACCAGCATCAAAGAATCTAAATCCTAATTAGAATAAAAAGGAAAACAAAAAACGGGGGATTTTGCGCTCCTATGTGTTTTTGTCTGAAATTATTTCATTTTTAAAGATTTGCCGCATTGTTTCAGCTCTAAGCTTGTGGATAGCTTCATGAATGGCCTCCGTTTGAAGAAACAGAGTTCATCTGAACTGATTTGGGTTTCTTTGGCCAATGCTGATTTCTGTTTCACTAGGTGACTGCTAGTCTGAACCAGCCTAGACCTGTTGTCCTAAAACACCTTCAATATCCATCCATCCATCCATCCATCCATCCATCCATCCAGCCAGCCACCCTGCAGAGAAAACTCATTTCAGCTGCTTGTATCTGTGATCTCGTTCTTTCAGTAAATACCCAAAGCTCGTGACCATAGGTGAGGGTAGGAACGTAGATCGACCGGTAAAGTGAGGGCTTTGCCTTCTGGCTCAGCTCTCTCTTCACCGTGACAGACCAGTATGACGCCCGCATCACTGCAGACGCAGCACCAATCTGCCTGTCGATCTCACGCTACAACCTTTCCCGAGATACTTAATCTCCTCCACTTGAGGCAGGACCTCGTCTCTGACCTGGAAAAGGCATTCTATCCCTTTCTGATTCAAGAGCATGGTCTCAGATTTAGAGGAGCTGATTCTCAGTTCCCAAAATGTCACATTATCCTAAAAATATAAAAATCGTTACCTTGCAAAATGATGTCAACTACACCTCTTTTACAGCCTTGGTTTCTGTGCAGAAGAGTGTCATTGTGAGCAGCAGTGGCTGTATCTTTATCATGTCATGTTTCAGGTGCAGTTCAATAATGGTCAACGGCCAGGAGGAACCTCTCGATGAAATGTGGAAAGAAGCCTTCCAGAATGCCTACCTGGAACTGGGTGGACTGGGAGAAAGAGTTCTGGGTTAGTGTGGGGACATCACTAGGGGTAGATGGAGGGCAACAGCTCTTACTTTTTATTACCTTCTTGGTAAACAAGGCAGTTTGCTGGAAATGTCCTCGTAAAAGAGCAGAATGCTCTCGTTGCAGCCATGCAGCAACAAACCTGCTGAAAACCACTAGATGTACTTCTGGAAGATTTATCACCTAAAAATTAGAATTGCGTAACCTAATCCAGGTCAAACTCTGAGGCAAAATACAACATAATATGATAAAATGTTATTTTCCTTTTTTTAAATGTCAGACACCCCTTTTTTGGGTAAAATGTCATTACCTGAACCATCTTCTGTGTGTTCTCTGCTCCGACTCTGTAAATGTCACCATCTTGACAAGTAAGGGAAAAATCTTGGCATCTGTTTTAAAAACTGCCATAGGTAATAATTATGTGCTATCATCATTTTCTTCGAGTAGATGTCACAGCAGTTAAATGTGGAATATTGCTTTTTTTGAAGAGAAACTCAGGAAATCATGTAAATGCTTGTGTCTGCGTGATGCTTTTGGTGATGATAATCACAGGTTGTGTCTTTTAAGAAAAAATACTTTTCTGCATCTGAAACATTTTGTTTTTTTTACTCCTAAGTGACAAAAGACACATATTTTTTAAAAAGTGTTTGATGATAATAATTCAATCTTCAAACTGGCAGCTTTAGATTCCACATCTGAAATTAGAAACTACTTTGATGCATGCTAAAGATAACTGATTATGCATTGTTTTAAAACGTCCTTTATGCATGCACGTTTCTGTTAATAAACATCCTGTTCTCTGCAAAAAGTTTCAGTAAATTCATTCTGCTGTGTGCAATCACCTCTCCTCTTCCAGGCTTCTGCCACTTGAACCTGCATCCGTCCCAGTTTCCTCGAGGGTTCAACTTTGACTGCGACAACACAAACTTCCCCATCGAGCAGCTCTGCTTTCTGGGCCTCATCTCCATGATTGATCCGCCGCGTGCCGCTGTGCCCGATGCTGTGGGTAAATGCCGCTCTGCTGGCATCAAGGTAATTGGCTGCACAGTTTCAGCTGTCATCGTTGTCCCCGAGGAAGCCCTTTCCTCCTGTGGCTTCATGCATCAAGCATTTTAGAACCACTATTTGCAAGTTGAATGTCTTTTCACAACACAGCGTGGAGTCAAAATGACAAGAAAATCACCTCCAGGGCCGTGATCGATGATGACCGCTGGAGAAACAAAATCCACTGCAACAAGCTTCTGGAGTAGCGCTTCCAGAAAAGTTCCAGTTTTTTAGTTTTATTGGATTAATCTGTGATCAAATCCAACATCACCTTTAGAACTACATCTTCAGATAAAAACTTATTCAAAATAAAGTTTAGGAATCACAAAGGAGCAAATAATTAAAGATGGATGCCATACATGATTGAACAACAAAAAAGGCTCCATCTATGACTTTTAGAGGAGTTTCACGGCTGCATTAGATGTTAATCAGCAGCATAAACACAGAAGAAGATGCTAATAATGAGCTCAGCCTCAGGAAGGTTAAATAACTGCCAACTGAGATTAAAAAAGCAATAATGAACAGAAGGAGCTGTTTAAATTCAAGGCAACGACTCCAAATGCAGAAAAGAGGTTTTCCATTTTAAATAAAGAAGTTATCCTGCTTCCTTTCACAACAGATGTTTGAAATGTATTATAATTGTTTACAGAATGACCAGAGGCAAAAAAAATCAGTTAAATAAAAAGTGTTAGTTGAAATGAATCATGTGGGGTTTGTTCAGACGGAGGAATTTTATTTGAAAGTATTCATGTTGTTTATTTTGAAAGCAAGAAAACTTGTGCAGGTTGAGACGATTCCCCTGTTTTCTTAACTATATTTGAAGCAACATTGAAAGTGAATAAATGCACATTTTACTGGTAACTGACGTGTGTGTGCGGTAGAGTAAATAACTAGAAATGCCTGATTTCAAGTTTAAAAAGTTCTTGATCCTTTTCTAATTGTGATGTAAATATGTAAATTAAGTATGACGTTTTCCTTCTATTTTCAAGAGAAGCAAAATTGTAAAGTTATTTGTGTTTTTTATTATTTTAAGCAGTGAGAAAAACATTTGTTTGTGTGATTTTTGATGTTTTCTTCTCTTGACCTGCTCTTTCAGGCATTTCTATCAAGCTGAGGTCAGCACTTTGGCTCGGCTGTTCGTAAAGCTGACTTTATTTTTATTTATACCCTCTTTGGTGGCGCGTCTCTGTGTTTTCATCTTGCTGCAGTTGCCTTCAGGATTTAGTACTTGCATTCCTGCGCTACATGCTGTTGTTGCTCAGCGTTCCACAGCTGAGGGAGTTTAAACCTAAATGTTCAGCAGATTAGATAAGATCTCAACAATTACCTTTAAGCATCCTGAAGGGTATTTAGTGCTAAATCTGCCTTCTGCTCTGCACAAACATGTGTATCGAGTAATGACTTAATCTTCACTGAGAAACTGTTTTTACTTGTTATTTTTGAAATATGATCGATCACTCTGAGTTTAACATGCAGGCTAAACATGAAAAACATCTTCTACCCCTAAAGCCTGAGTCATGCTTCTGCATCTGCGTCAGTGCGGAGACACGCAACGCCATTATCCGTCCTTGCGAGCCTGCTGGAGAGCCCTCACAAGGATGGATCTCGAGTTTTTTTTCTAAACATCCGTCCGTCGAGACGGAGAATGCAAGCTTGTGATTGGTCAGGGCACCGCTGTCCTCTACACCACTGCCATTGCACCCTCAAAAACATAAAGAGAGCTGAGGATAACTAGCGGCAGACACGGAGAAGCTTGAAGAATACCTCGCGAAAAAACTCTAAGAATATGAACGTTTAATTCCCCCGTGACTGGAGGAGTGAAAAGATACGCAGCAAGCGTTTTATTTGTGGACGGAAATGACAGGAAACGTGGGTTTAGAGGTGGTGAGCGCATGAAGAGGTGGAGGAGAATGAGAGTCTGTGTTAAAAAGTCTCTTATATATACAAAAAAACACAATATAAACACACTATCTTGGACCGATACATGACAGGGTACCACAGAAAAGTGCTACGCCCTCTGTTGTCCTGGCGGGGAATTGCTTTGCAACACTCCCCAGGAGACGGAGAAGTATGAGGGCAAAATATGTCCGTCCAAGCGTGCATGTCTCTCCCTTTTGGAGCTGATGGAGAAGTATAAATCCAGCTTAACTCATGCACTAACCGCTGATAGAAAATACACGGTGAAAAGCTCAGATTTGAAAGCCAGTAAATCGCTGGCCACATTGAAAAAGTAGCATTCCATTTTGGCTCGCGACGGGGAAGGTTGTGGTTAATTTGGCATCCAGGAGAGAACATCCTGGTTAGTAGAAGCTAACAGTTAGCATTAGCAAATCCACAACATGGCAGAACTCCTTCAGGCTTGTGTTACATGTGGAGATAAAACATCAGAGTTGCAGAGCAAGCAGGGTCATTGGTGGAGTCACGTTGTTGTTATCCAATCAGAAGCAAGACTTCTGAATATCAGCAAATAAGCTTCTGTCGCCTTCTGCTCACCTCTAGTTCCTGAAACAGGACTGCCAGAGCTTCTTTCCCTCAGGTCGACTCACAAGACATTCATGGGGACTAGAGATAACAGCAGATGATAAAACGAGTGAACGTAGTCTTTAAACGAATAAGAAACAGAACATTTGAACATGCTGCATCGGGGTGAGAATTAGAAAAAGCATCACCTCAAAAAGAATCTTGGGATTGTATTTTTAGTCATGAAAATGTGTGAATAACTTCCACAGAGGGGGCGGGGCTTATATACTGTCCTACAGCCAGCCACTAGGTGGCGTTTTGGTTCTTTTTAGCTTTAATTTCATGTTTCATTTCTTTGTTTATTAAATATACAAATCAGTGGCTCGAGCTCTGAACTTGAACTAAGAATAATGTCTCTCTTGTTTTGTCATAAATTTCAAGTTTGATGGATTTTTCTTTTACAGTCACACTAATTTACACCATCCCAGACTTTTGACTACAGTGGGGTTAAACCTTCAACCCTTTAACGGCACCATTCCTTTCATTTGTAACAACACAGCCATTTAGATAACTTATAGACCCATAAGACCCATTCTGCCATGTAGCTCAAGCACGCTGTGACACACGACATCCGTATGATGATACAGGAAGCCTTATCGCAATAAAGCTTCGTGATTTATGGGACCTTCTGTCTGTCGGCAGGTAATCATGGTAACCGGGGACCACCCAATCACAGCCAAGGCCATCGCCAAAGGTGTGGGCATCATCTCTGAGGGCAACGAGACGGTGGAGGATATCGCCGAGAGACTTAACATCCCTCTGAGCCAAGTTAACCCCAGGTGTGTGTGTGTGTGTGAGAGAGAGAGAGAGAGAGAGAGAGAGAGAGAGAGAGAGAGAGAGAGAGAGAGAGAGAGAGAGAGAGAGAGAGAGAGAGAGAGAGAGAGAGAGAGAGAGAGAGAGAGAGAGAGAGAGAGAGCAGGTTTTGGCTCTGCGCCCAAGCATCTGAGGATAACTCTGTGAGATTGTGTGAGCAGTGATGCGTCTCTTGGATGTGTGCTCAAGCAAGGTTACGCATTTGAAGAAAGAACCAAAGAATCTGTTCATTCAACATGGATCCCAGATGCTAATAAGCCTAGCTAATACACACAAAACTGAAGGAAGCATTTGGCCTGATTATGCCTGAAGTGATCAAAATCTTAAAAAGGGAAAAATAAAATAAAATGGCTTTGGAGAAGAAAGATGATGAAAGGTCCCGAGAAGAAAGAGAGGAGTTTTGCCCGTTGCAGGCTTCACAGCTGACGTAGAAAGAAAATTAAAACGACGTAAAAGGCAGACAGAGTCTCCTACTGAGAGGTCCATTTGCTCTGCCAGGAAACAATTATTACATATATCCCTGTCTCTTATAATGTTCCACAAAGGATGGATCAAACAAATAATTACTGCATGTTAATTAGCAGTTTCTTCATTTATCAACATTTCATGACAGTAGCTCTAAAAGTGAGGCAAAATGTAAAAGTTTTGGTTTGTGTTGTCATTTAGTCCTTGTTTAATTAGTTTAATAGGAGGAAAACTCAGATTGTGTTCAGTTCTTCTTTAATCAAATTGTACGTCCATTTCTGGCCCAGTTTGTGGAAATTTGGGTATGAAATATAGTCCAAGGTTGGGTGGCTGACAATGTGGGCACTAACTGTTGACAAAGTGAGCAGTAAGTGATCTGAAGTGGGTTCAAATTGACAACAATTTGGCTGAGAGATGAAGTGACCCGGAGCTGCTGGTTTACTGAAGAAAACAAAAACGGTAATGATGCAAGAAAAGCCTCAGGAGGCAGACACTGAATCTTGAAGAGGTAAAAGGAAACTTTAACTAGCAGATCAGCTAGTGTCAGTGGAACAAAAAAGACTGCGAAACAAAGGACTTCCTAACTGTTGGGCGAGCAATTACAGAGAGAGAACAGCTCGGCTGACTGAAAGGTGAGGGATGAGCAGGATGAGAACAAACTCAAAACCTGGAAATAAAAGACCTCCAACTGACAAATTCAACCATAACTGCAAAAGGTTATGAACGCTAAAGCCCAATTAAAAAAGGCAGTATTAGAAAGATAACCCACATCATGGTGTATTTGCAAAGCCTCAAATTACGTTAATGTCCAGCCTGGAATCTGTTTTAAACTAATCTTTACCGAATACAAAAACCTCCAGACTACATTTTACTCTTGCACTTCTCTGGGTTTGACACAACAGATTCCCTCCTAGCTCGTTCACCGATGGAGGCCACGTGCACTCGGAGGTAGATGTTTTTCTACGCTTGTATCAACGCACCAAAAACTATTATTTCCAAAACTCTCATCAAAGAGGACATTTACAAATTCTTGGTTTTCGGCATTCTCTTGTGAACTTGCATAACCGTCCCTGCTGGTGACGAAGGCTGTGACATCACGTGTTTACTGTAGAAGACCACAGGTGAAGGACAATGTTAAGGATGGTTATTGCCACTAGGTTTCCACGTTCAAGGGAACCGCCGCCCCCTACAGGCTTGGCATGCCTGTGAATGTTTCACGATGCTCTGGATTTTGCAGTTGAAGATGAGTTGGAGCGGACCCAGGTTTGATCCTGGACTGGTGGGGGAGGACGTTCAGGTTTATAAATACTAAGTGTGGCTTAACAGAAACCAGAGCAGCTGTTTTCCACAGGTTTTAAATTAAATCCCACTTATGAACCTTTAAAGTCTGTCGGTGTGTTTGTGGGCAACACACTCGGAGACAGAAAATGTCAAACCCCTTTTCTTTGCACACTTGTCTTTGCTATCGCTGACACCACGCTGTTTCCTGCTTGTGTGTGTTATTCACAGGGATGCCAAGGCTTGCGTGGTGCACGGCTCAGACCTAAAGGACATGAGCGCCGAGTTCCTGGACGACCTGCTGAGGAACCACACTGAGATAGTTTTCGCTCGCACCTCACCTCAGCAGAAGCTCATCATTGTAGAGGGCTGCCAGAGACAGGTCAATGGTCGAGTGTGTGTGTGAAAGGGAGTGTGTGTGAATGTGCCCTTGTCTCTTTTTGAGAGCATTTCAGCATGTGGGTTCGTTTGATTGAATCCAAGCATGTGTGTTTGTGATAAAGTCCGGGTGGATGCTTGAATGTGTCCGTTTATGTTAGAGTGTGGAAGTATGGTCGAATAGAGATGTGTGTGTGTGTGTGTGTGTGTGTGTGTGTGTGTGTGTGTGCATATGTGTGTATGTGTGTCTATAAGCATGGACGTATGGGTGTGCGTGTGTGTGTGCGTGCATGCATGTGTGCGTGTGTGTGTGCGTGCGTGTGTGTGTGTGTGTGTGTGTGTGTGTTTGTTTGTGTGTGCGTGTGTATGTGTGGTTATGTGTGTCTATATGCATGGACGTATGTGTGTGTGTGTGTGTGTGTGTGTGTGTGCGTGCATGTGCATATGTGTGTATGTGTGTCTGTATGCATGGACGTATGTGTGTGTGAGTGTGTGTGTGTGTGTGTGTGTGACAGTGGAAGTGCCTGTGTGCCCCTGCCATTTGCTGTTGAATAAAGCTTTCTGTGTGCACTCGTTGAGTGTTCTTTAGCTTTTTTTTCAGTGCAGGTGGTTCAATGGCTGAATACAGCCTTTTGTGCATTTGTGTGTGTGTGTTTATGTGCGACTCTTTGCCTTTACAAGTGCTTGCATGTGAGCGTAAGGCTAACAACAAGTGTGCTTCTCTAAGGTGTGCAATATCAACTGCATGTTAAACTTGCAAATTAAGCCAGAAACTCAACATTTATGCACAAAAAGATCAAACTAGACTGCCAGATTGCACTTGTGATCTATTGAGGTCACGCTACAATTCACCCTGTCTCGCTCACTCTGACACCGTGTGACTGAATGATTGCCACTCTATCCAATTTTTTTTTTCATTTAATCTCCCCAGAGCTGTTTGAAAAGACATTATTAAGACAGAAGGGGAGAGCAGGAAGCGTTGGGGAAGAAAAAACTTAAATCACGGTACTTATCTTTCCTTCCTGGACACTTTTTGTTTGCCGGTCCTTGCGGGCACAAGGGGTCAATCGTGGCTGTGACAGGGGACGGAGTGAATGACTCTCCAGCACTGAAGAAAGCCGACATCGGCGTTGCCATGGGGATCGCCGGTTCTGATGTGTCCAAGCAGGCAGCCGACATGATCCTGCTGGATGACAACTTTGCATCCATCGTTACTGGAGTGGAGGAGGGTAAGTGTCGGGAGTGATGGGGTGGCAGCGTGAGGGAAGGGGAAAACGGTGGTCAAACAAAAAGGGGAAATAGATTTAAAACAGCCTGTCAGACAGATCTTTTCTCAGGAGAACCCAGATTTATTTTATTTCTACTCTAAAATCAGACAGAAATAATCTGATTTCATGGGTCATTTTCTTGTGGAACAATCATGTTTAGACTTCCGGCAAAAATCAATTCCTTTTGACCTGAGTTGGTTTTAAATCGAATTCTTCGTATCTTAAGATTCACAGTAATATGAGTCTGACTGGAGTCATTAAGAAAATAATGTGATAATTTAAAAAATATAAAAATAAATATTTAGTAAAATCCTTTACCTGACTCAACGCCCTCCTGTCTTTTGCCCATTTGTTGGTAACTGATCCACTTATTTTCTTTAAAATGTTCTCGTATTTTAACTTCCTTCATGTTTTAGATGCTGTTGACTAGAAACATCCAACCTTTACTTGCTTAACGTACGCTTTCTAAGCTTCTGTTCGTGTTGACACTTGAGACGCGGGATGATCGTAACACTTTATGTTTTTAGCAAATGTGACTCGGTGGTTCTTTGTGGTATTTGTCAGCTACAGATGATGTGCATTAGACTACTTGTAACAATTAAAATGCTACGCCTAAAAAGATCCACACCAATAAATGTTTAGGAACTCTTGGACTTGTGGGCTTTATGGGCCAAAACATACAATGCTGACATTTGATCCACACTTCCCTTGGCCATCAGTTATCAAAGTGCTCCGTTTTCATAATCGTCTGACGAGTCGGCGTCTTCTGTGTCATCAGACTGAAGACTTTCTTCTTACGGCCCTGATACTTGATTTTCTTTTTGTATTGTTTTTCTTCTTTTCTTCCTTTTCCTGTGTATTTGATGGGTGTGTCTGGGTATTTCCTTTAACTACTCACTGAAGAACTTCTTGCTACTTCAGTAGCCTACATGGGGCTCCTCGCTCAAATCTTCTTCCTTTAGCTTCTCTGCAGCTTTACAGTACCTGTGAGGAAACACACCAGATGTTGTCGGCCTTGGCAACCCATCTCCCAGATGTTTCATTGGAGACCTGAGCTGCTGCTTTCTGCAGAACTCCTGCAGGGACACGCCTGATAGTTCACTGAAATAAAGTCGAGACCAGTGCAAAATGTCAACATAGCTAGAGGAAAGGTTGTGACACCTTTTCAGGTCTGTTACAACCCGCCCCATTCCAGGTTGCCATTAAAAAACTAACAGTTTTAGCAGTTTGCTTCTAAATTAGCAGTTGTGCTAATTAAACTAGAGACATTCCTGCTTGAGCTCATGTTAGTCACAACACAATGGACGCGATGCAAAAAATATCTGTGCTTTGCAAGTGGGCATGATGAACTGTACTGATGACATCACCATAGCTCACTTCTGATTGGTCCAACTGAGAGTGTTGCAACCATCCCTGGTCTCCCTGTCTGCAGGTTTTTCCCTGTAACTGCATTAGCATCTTTTTATCTATTCATGTATTTGTTTGGAATTAAAAGGTGATTTTGCAACTTTTCTCCACCACCAAGAACCTTTTAGATGTTTGGCTGCTAAATCAGATAGTTTTGTGTCATATTTGCAATTTTCCCTGCAATTTAAAACATATAACATGTATAAAAATTGAATTTTAATACAAAATAAGTCATTTTTGTAACAGAAAAGAATAAAAAGTGTAATATTAGGTGTACTTTGGCCAGTCAGCGTTGAGGGATCTCACCGACTTACTTATTCATGCAGACCTGCGACGTGACGTGGCACCGGGCTTCCAGATTTCCCTCCTGAATTACACTGACAAGCATGAGATTTGACTGGATACTCGCCTCCAGTGACTGCCGTTTAATTCAACCTGGGTTGCCTAATAAGGAATGAGAAAATTCATATCTTATAGGGTTATGCTGATGAAGCAGTCGGAGGGAATAATTCTGCCTTTTTGAATTCAGAATATGAATCTATGTGAACAATTCTCTTTTGATAATTACAAAAAGGATTAAATAAGACAATCTGATTATTGCAGGTCGTCTGATCTTTGATAACTTGAAGAAGTCCATAGCATACACGCTGACAAGCAACATCCCAGAGATCTCACCCTTCCTCCTGTTCATCATCGCCAGCGTTCCTCTTCCTCTGGGAACCGTCACCATCCTCTGCATCGACCTGGGCACTGACATGGTGAGAGAAGGAGCGACAAACCTTAGAAAGTGTCTCTGCAGCCGAAGTAGCAATCATTTCCTTCATATTGGACACCAGCAGGTTTAATAAAACTCCTCCTGAGTCATTCATGGGGACGACTTTTTGCTCAACACGTCTCACTTTGCAATTGAGCATTTTACGTGTGCTTTTAAAATATTATAGGCTTTCTTAACATTAAACCCATTTAATTGTACTTTTACAGGTCATACACACACCATAGCCCACATAAACTTTTATATTTATCTCTACTTACTGAATTATACTGTAATTATTGGATAATTTGAGCAATTTTCCTCAATAAAACGAGTGATAATTACAAGCGTGTTGCATAGCTACAGGCGAGGTAAAGGTGACATTAAAGCAAGTATTTTTTTTCCTCCACAGTCGTCAAATATGAGAGCCTGAAGGTAAAACGAGCAAATGTTTGGTTTAATTTGTTCGTTCTATCAGAGGGAGAAATTTGCTTTTGGCTTTGACGTCCATTTGTTCAGGCAGAACAAAGAGCGGGTGACACTCACATACAGATTTACATTTCACAGCGCCGCCATTTCCAGATGCCAGTCTCTCCTTTTGTATTTCCAGTTGCAACGCACAAAAAAGGCAGAGTTGCTGGCACGCTGCTCGCCTGAGGGGCGTAATCCATCATTACAGAAGAAAGGAATCGCAGAGTGAAATAATCAGAAGGACTTTTATGTTCGGTGCTTTAATTTTTACTGCTCTCAACTTCACCAAAACACGAATATGCACCTGAAAGTGGTTCTTTCACGTCCATGCAAGCCAATGACAAAGTTTGGGACTACGTTTGTACATGTGTTGAGTTTTGTGTTTAGAAACCGAATTATTTTCTTTCTTCACAGGTTAAAGACCAAAGCAAACAGCTTATTTATATGCCTGGTTTAAAGGGCAGTGGCAGGAAGGACTTGATGTCAAATAATAATCGCCTAATATCGCTGGAAAATAGAATCCTTGTTTAGTTTTGGAGATCTCGTTTATTTTCATGATTCAAGGGATTTTTGATGCGTGTTTCTCTAGAAAAGTGAGAATTATTTTCTTACCTGTTATAAATAACTTAGAGCTGTGAAAATGATGGAACTGAGACTTTTTTATGATGGGAGCAATGGAGTCAGTCATAGTTGTCAGAATAAACCCACATTTAACCCTCACATAGTCTTTGTGTCAGATTTTCCCACTTATGTCATTTTTCAGTCCAACAGGATTGATGAGCTAACAGCTAGTTCTGACACAGACCAAAGTGAATTGCTGCTGATGAACAATAACACAAAAAACACTCAGATATCCTAAATTTCACATAGTTAGCAACACTTATGTAGAGTTTTTAATATTGCAATTGTTTTGCATTGTATTTTATGTTTAATAGCATAAAGAGCTAAGGAATATTACCTATGATGCATTCACAGTCCTTAAAGAGCAAATCACCCCCAAATCAATTATTTTTTCTGATAAACTATATAAATGTGTGTCTAATCGTGCTGCAGACACGTCTACTCAATAGTTTAGCACTTTAGTGCATCTTAGTTAAAATTTAAATTCTCTGCCTAAAACAGTCAGTGTTGTGCCATTATCGGGTAAAAACTCTGCACTGCAGTTGAATTAAAATCTGCCATCGCTAAGAGGTACCCTAGAACGTTAGCTGGTACCATATGATGCCACAATGTTGTTGTAAATGTGTGTGTGTGTGTGTATTTGTTAGCGGCTCCGCCCTCTTGGTCTGCTAGTCAACAACATTTGTTACATTTTTCAAACAGGAAGTGGGAGTGGAATAATACTCTGGTAGGGGGTGACTTGCTCTTTAAAGACCAAGTTCACTCTTTTTTTAATACATCCAGTGGTAGTAGCAGTAGTCTCTATTATAAATGAATGACTTATGAGTTGATCTCTGTGGGGAAAAAAGCCCTTGCGCTCCTGTTTCAAGAACCTAGAAGTGAGCCTGAGCAGAAAACAGCTGGATTTGGAGTCTTATTTCCTGACATTTAGACATCTTGCCTCTGACTGGCTAACAGCAACACTTCTCTACCACTGAATTATGTTTGCTCTGCAGCGTTGATGTTTTATCTCCACAAATAACACAAGCTTGAAGAACTGCCATGTTGAGTTGCTAATGGTTAGCTTCTGCTAGCCGAGACGTGCTCTGCTCTCTCCTGAATGCTAAATAAACAACAGCATTTCCCGCCGTGAGTGAGTCCATGAATACTAATTTAGCAACGTGATGTGTCAATGACTTTCTTTTTTAATCCGAGAGGTTTTCACCGACTATTTTCCATCAAGGGCTGATGTAAGAAATGAGGCAGAAGACTACTTTAACATTTAGCTTGCATGTCAAACTCAGAGTGACTGTTCATATTTAAAAAATAACACAGTTTCTCTGTTAACTTGGCTTTTAATGTTCCTGCTGAAACAGCTGTGCAATACACAAACAAAGGGACTGTTAATGTTTTGGGATGATGAGTGCATGAACCACTATGACATTTTGGAAATGTTATGCATTTTAAGATTGCTGCAATATAGACTGGTCTTGGCTGCATTTGAACTAGCCATTAGCTTATCAATCCCTAAGAGCTGAATAAGTTCTTTTTCTGAGAAGAGGTATAAAATCTTAAAAATCCCACACAAATGGCTGTGATGGTTCCTGAAGGAACTGCTGAGTGCTTTAAAAGGTTCTTCAGTATAAAGAGATGTTTTTGAAACATTGAAAATGTTTACAGTGCAGGTAAAATTACAGATTTCCCACATCTGCTTGTGAGGATGTTCACAGCTTGTTTACAGCTCAGTGGTACTTCTGGCTGCGGGCTCAAGGACTCTGCTGAGATTTCGCTGTGACAACCAGCACACAGAGTTGACTTTGATTATTTTTAGCAAGCCCAGAAAAAGAAGTCCGATGTTTAGCTTTGTGGCATGCTTAAGGATGAGTGAGAATCGGATCAGAACGTACGCATGCACACAAAAGCACAAAATCAATGTCAGGTAGTTTCTTTTTACAGTCTCGCCTCGTCCCCCTCTGCTGCTGTAGGTCAGAGACATGTAACACCAAAACAACGTGGATTTGCAGACTACAGAGGATGTGTTCTCCCTTTCAAACTGTGCCGAGTCCCCATCTTAAATCCCACTTAAGTCCAGGAGATTCCTCTTTCTGTGTCAGACATATTGTTCTGTTGCTCACCTGGTGAAAGCAGCTACAGTAAGATCTTTATTACAGGGACCTTTTTTCTCTTGCCTCTCCATCACTGCCACTGCGTTCTCCTCTCCTCTTGCCCTCTTTCTGTCTACCCTACCTCTGCTCAGTGACTGAATGATTTCATTAATAGTGATATGTCTTGTCGAGCTCGTCTCTGCAACTGTCATCACGTCTTTGTATCGATGCCACAAAGACAAATTTCTTGCACATTTATGGTGCAGGTGTAAAGTGAGCTCACCCTCCTCTCTCCCTCCCCCCAGGTTCCAGCCATCTCTTTGGCTTATGAGACGGCAGAAAGTGACATCATGAAAAGACAACCGAGAAACTCCAAAACCGACAAGCTGGTCAACGAACGCCTCATCAGCATGGCCTACGGACAAATAGGTTTGCTCCTGTCTTTATAGCTGTGATAAACATCTCCATCTCCAGCTTTTAATACCAACATTTATCATAAATCCGCCCCTTTTCAAGCACACCTGTAAATGTTTGAGTCTGTGCAGCTGCAGAAGCAGGTCCAAGGTTGAACAGACATTCCCCCATTTTTCTTCTAATTGTTGTGACATTTACAGCAAATTGAGAGCGGTGGCTGTTGGCACCACTTAATCCTGGCCATGTTTTAGTGGTCGGAGCCTCGCTCGTGCTGCTTATCTCTGGTTTTATATGGTTTGGGAATAGTGAAAGATCAAAGGCTGGCCCAATTTCATGCACCGTTAAATAGGGCAAAATATGACAGCGCTTCATTTAAAACCCAACACGCTGAGAACAGACAGCAACAAGCTGCCGGTTGGAGCGTTGGTTTCCATAAAAAGGAGGTGAAAGATACAACAAATCACATTTATAAACCACCTATTTGACATTAAAGCAGGAGGACTTGAGGTTTGTAATCAATGTTTAACAGAGAAGGCCATTCTAGGCGACACATTACGACTGCATAAGAGCCCCGACACAAGCAACGCCATCGTAAATGAGGAAAAGGGTGAAAAGCAACCACATTTTGTCCTGAGGATCAAGCACAGACCTGCTACAACAGTTTCAATTTATCCAGCGCTGATTAATAACCGACATGGAGGTCTGGTGCAGGACAGGGACGTAAGCTCTGGAATAAGACGTCATGCTGGAAATGCTGTGCTCACTTTGACAAACCAAATTTACCAACATGAAATTTTAACAACCTATCTTCTAATATTGCAGTTCTCAGCTGTCTGGAGCATTTACCAAAAAAGCAGCATTTTAGCACAGGATGCTCACTGCTATTACAGTCTTACAATATGCACTTTGGTGGATTTGAGTCATTTTCAGGTCTACTCATCGGGTGTAATTCCTTTTTTCTCTCTGATAGCGCCGGTGTTGTTACACAGGGCTGTCACACACCAGATGGGGAACGATTTACATGATTGTCTGCTATGATTAATGTCTCAATATGGATTAGACGATGATGCTGCAGCTGTCAATAGCAGAAAGGAATTTTGTTGGGATTTTTGTTTTTCATTTTTTACTCCTCCTAATACAACTGCCTTTTGTAAAAACGGTATTGCATGCATATGTGCACGAGTGCCGTATAATCCTCCCCAATCTCTTTTAACCTTTTGCAGTTTGCAAAGTCTGTAAATATGTCAAAAGGACATATTGGGGGCCATAACCTGGGAGTTTCACTGTAGTTTATTTATACAGCACGTTTAAACGCAGCATGGGAGCTGACCAAAGCGCTGTACAGCAATCATACGTACAACAGGTCGCAACAGATAACAGTTGATCAATGGAACCACTGTACAAAGCATAACATCCCCGGCCAAAGGCCAAGGCATAGAAACGAGATTTAAAACCGAGGAGAGACAGAGCCTGTCTGACCGACAGAGGAAGTGAGTTCCAGAGTGAAGGAGTGGCATACAGAAAAAGTCTGTTCCCCATGGGATTTATATCTCATCTGGGGTGTGGAGAGCAGGAGAAGGTCAGCAGAACTCAGCGTACGCTTGGGGACATAAGGAGCGAGCAGCTCAGAAAAGTAAGGAGGTGCCAGGGCATTGAGCCTCTTAAACATGAAGATCAGGACCTTGAAACACGCCCTAAAGGTCACAGGAAACCAGTGAAGCTTCACCAGCTCTGGAGTTTTATGGTTACAATGGTTGTTGCCAGTCAGGAACCTGGCAGCAGCATTCGGATTAGCCTGCAGCCCCGAGACGGGGGTGGGGGTGCCGATCCAAACTGCATTGGCGTAGTCGAAGCGAGAGGTTATAAACGCATTCTAACTTTAACCCTGTGAAATAAAGTGCAAATAACACAGTAATTAAATAAGAAGTAATAAAAAAAAAACATTGCAAAGCATCTTAAATCTCATCCTCCAGCAGTCGAGTTCTTTGCCACCCTTTGTTCTTTTTAGAGGCATCAATCATCCGTACACCGCACTAAGAGGAGAGTCATTGTCCCATTTTCAACCTTTTTAGTGTCAAGTTGCAACATTTTATGGGCCAAATAATCACGATACAACAACTAGTTCAGATTCCTGAGGTGGATAATCAATGTAATGATAGATGTTAATTACATTTAATTTTACTAAAAATAAGTCACTACTGACAGGATTTTTGGTAACACTTTACAATAAGGGCCCTTTTAAAAAGGTTAGTGCATTATTAAGCAATAATAATTAAATGGCCCCTTTATTAACGTTACTGTTATTGTTAACTATTAAGTGCCCTTAAGGTTGGGACAAAGGACCGGGGATGTCTGCTTAGAAATGCATTACTTAGTATGTTTGAGCAGTTATTAATGCTTTAATAGTTTATTAATGCTTACTAATGCACTAAGTAATGCTAACAAAGGGACCCTTATTGTAATGCAATACAGAATTTTTCTGTTAAAATTACAATAAATGATTTCATTGTTTTACCTCATTTTATTAATTCAACTCTCACTTTTGTATTTGTAGTACCAGTACCTTGTTTGATACATTTTTAGGTCAAACTCCAAATATTTGATTGTACTTTTGCTCTGCGTTGTATATGAAAGACTCCGTCAAGGTTATCTTTTAAAAGTAGTGAAAGTTAGTAAATACTAACTTCCTGTTATACAATATCTCCATCTATGGCCAAAATCTGACAAATGACCAACTTTTATCTAACTAAAACACCCTCGCCTGCTGCCAAAAGACAAAAATGAGTGTCTTTCGTCAAAATCTCCCCAAAACAGGATTTTAATGCAACACTCAGAAACATCTGATTGATTTTTGAACCCCAATAAGAACGGCCACTAAAACAAATAAACTTTGACTTAGGATCAAAAAAATGATCATAAAATACTGGAACCATTATGATTTTGTAAGAAATGTTGCACCTTATTTAGTAAAACAGACATTTTACTGTTACTGAATTCTCATTTAAACCCTTTTTCCTACCAGGTATGATCCAGGCTCTGGCTGGTTTCTTCACCTACTTTGTGATTCTGGCTGAAAACGGTTTCCGCCCAGCGGACCTGGTGGGCATCCGCATCAAATGGGATGACCGTGAAGTCAACGACCTGGAGGACAGCTATGGGCAGCAGTGGGTGAGGAGCAGAAGCGTCCATCCTCAGCGTGGCCATGAAAATTATCGTTCTCATGTAAAGCTAAACGAAAACGTGTGTTCAACTCGTGCAGACCTACGAACAGAGAAAGATCATTGAATTCACCTGCCACACAGCCTTCTTCAGCAGCATTGTGATCGTCCAGTGGGCAGATCTTATCATCTGTAAGACCAGGAGGAATTCTCTCTTTCAGCAAGGCATGAGGTACGTGAACGGGGGTGTTTAAAGAAGATTTAAAGAAGATTCATATGAATTCATCAATATTAAGTTCTAATGCTTCTGATGAACAGGAACCGGATCCTGATCTTTGGCCTCTTTGTTGAGACGGCTCTGGCTGCCTTCCTCTCTTACTGCCCAGGAATGGACGTGGCCTTGCGCATGTACCCCCTGAAGTATGCACCATATATGCACATCTCCACTGAACCAAGAAATAACCCCTTTAAGACCTAATAGTCTACCATCAGCCTGTCACTCTCAACTTCAAATGAAGTGTATGATCTTCTCAAACACCTCGCTGTTATCCTTAATATTCAGAAATGACTGCAGTGCATTTAACAATTTGCACTCTGCCTGTGACTCTGGTCTCTCTGCCTCTTCTTCCTGACTCACTGGTTTTTCTCTCGTTCGAAGGATCCTGTGGTGGTTCTGTGCCTTACCGTACAGCCTTCTCATTTTTGTGTACGATGAGGTTCGTAAATTAATTCTGCGGAGAGCTCCAGGCGGTAAGTGGTTATGGATAGAAATGAAAATCAAAATGTGTTTTATTTTGTTAATAACATGACAGAAAAAACACAGCTGGGGTATGTAGTTTAAAAATGATAAAGTAACTTTAAAAATGTTTAAATGTCCGATTCAGTTAGTGTTGTCCCTCCCCTGGCCTCGACAGCAAAATGATTCATTTATGCAGCTCTGACCAGTAGAATTACGTTTTCACAAGAGGGAACTGTCAGTCAACGAGAATGCGACCCACTTCCCAGCATGCACTATGGGACGACGCAAATTTGGCCTGCATTGTATTGATGTTAGACCGTAAACTTCAAGTTAACTGTGGAAGAGGAGAGAGGGGAATGAAAACACACTGGCTACACTGTTGTGTAGAGCTAGGTGATTAGCATAGCGCTACATTGAACTATAATGTAGCGTTAGCAGGGGGTGCTAGATTCCATACCATAGCAACTTTATTTGTATAGCACTTTTAACATCCGCAGGACCAAAGTTCAGTACACAGAACAAACTTTAAAAAATGACGTAATCAACAATAAAGCCATAGTACCTAAAATAAATCACCAACCATAGAGTTAAAATAATAAACGAAACAGAAAACTAGCCTGAGGCGTGGCCCAGACTCAGCTTCAGTGCAGCCACATCAAATGGTACCTCTAAGCCAGGGGTGTCAAACTTATTTTAGCTCAGGGGCCACATTGAGAAAAATCTAGTTCCAAGTGGGCGTGACCGGTAAATTAAAACCTGCTTTTCTCCCAGTCATTGAGGGCGCACCATCTGTAGCGAGGCTTACAGCAGGGACCATTGCACTCCGACCCTGTCCAGCGCTCCGAGTGCGGTGAAAATATCAGCTGCTGTTGATGTATCCGTCATGGGCGCCAACTCAACAAACTCCTCGGTGATGGTCATGGTGTCATCAACTCTGCAGATGATAATCACCAGTTGAGAAAAATCTGTAATGTCCGTGCTTTCATCAATAGCAAATGAAAAAGCAATAAAGGACTTTACTTTTTCCTTCAATTGGCTGTCCAAATTAAAGTTAAAGCAGACTGCTGTTTCTTCAGTCCGGCCAACAGTTCATTCACCTTCTCTCTTCTCCGCTGTCCTTCAAATTATTCATATTTTTTGGCATGAAGACTCACATAATGGCGACGAAGATTACCGTAAATCCTCTCATACAGGCCCAGGCCTGTATTTGAATCAAGCTCATGGCCTTTATTGGAAGGAGGACCAGAATTAGAGGCAGGCCTCTATTTCTATTTGAGCAAAATTAACTAATGGTTCGCTGGAGTTTTTGACAATTAAAATTGCGCCCACATTTTCAAAGTTAAACACATTTCTTTTAACAACGGTAGTTTCTGCTTCAGCCCTCTCCCCCCTCCCCCTGCGCAGCGGCCGCAAACTCACTGATGCGCCTGCAGCCTCTCAGAGTTCCTGCTGCTCTAAACATTAAAATAATTATTTCATTTTCTGTTCCTCACTTCTGATTACCTTCAATGGTGTCTGTTTGTTGCTTCCACCAGGTACAAAAACTAACTTGTTTTTATTTGACTATTTTTCTGTCCTGCCTGTTTATTATCTTCCTGCATCTCCTCTCAATCCTAAAGAAAAACTGCTGCCTGGGTTCATATATATTCACCTCATGAGTTACCTTTGAACTGCAGTTCTAAAAGATCTACCGACCGCAAAAACAGCGGAGTGCGCGCTGCTCGCCTGCCGCATCAGTGATCAGTGCGTCACCGAGAACAAAACAGGTGATGCGCCCTGCTCCACAGCAGCGAAACGCATCAGGCACAAATAAAAGAATAAAAGACAGAAAACAGAAAAGGAAATGAGCCGACATGAACGATCGCGTGTTAAATTAGTTTTTGAGGTGGCGACACCTGATTTGATAATGTTACTGTGGCCGTGCTCAGGACGCAGATGTCTGGAGCGCGTCAACAATCAGAGCTTTGCATGCGCAAGCTGGTTAAGGTTAGGATGGGGGTGAGGGGAAGGTTAAATTGCAAGAGGGTAAACTCCACAATTTGGTTAAATGTCCGTTTTACGGCGGGTGTCAGTACCGACGCTCTGGCACAGCGCGTTGCCCCCCCGAGCGCAGGAGCTTGTCACCTGCTGACAGCAGGCTGCTGTCTTTTCCGAGGACTGCATCTTGCCGGTCATTATCACGTGACAGCGACTAGTCGATGACAGGCAGAAAAAGTCACTATAGTGAAGTTGATTAGTTCATACAACCCCTATTGCTCCCCAGTGTTCTGCAGCATAATCAGCACGTTCTCTTTGAACTTTATATCAAATTGTCTATGCACGATTAAAGTTACCCTCCCGGTCTATCACTGGCAAATCAAAAGTGAGACGGATGACACAACCGCCCCCCGTACTTGCTTGTTACCACATTCCACCCGGCCACAATAAAAAACCAGCCATTATTCACCTCCGCCGACTCCGACACCGGCCAAAATATGATACCCGGCCGTTAATTGAATACAGGCTAATATTAGAGGATTTACGGTATATTCTTTCAGCACTGCAACATGCTGTGAACACACCAAACACACAGCTTTTCCATTCACTTCCATGAAAAAATAGGGGGGTGTCCATTTTTCTTGGAACAACCTGCACTCGGTGTCCACTTTTTCTCCTTTTGACAGCCATCTTGGGCTGAAGCACAAAATGTAGATGCCATATTAGATATCGGGGCAAAACAAAGTAGCTCGTCAGAACACCTGTTGCACTGCTTAACACAATGCCTATTACACCATCTAATGGACGTATTGGGAACAGCAGTTTTGTATTGAAAATTTTGAGTTTATTTTCGCTCTACATTGTAAAGTGTGAAAATAAAGTTTATACAACCATCTCGCGGGCCGGACTTAACCCGTTTCCGGCCCGCAGGCCGTATGTTTGACACCCCTGCTCTAAGCCAATAGCAATGGCTGACTCTAATTCAAAAGTAGTGCAGACTTTAACCTGAAGAGGGCGCCATACTGATGGTTTATGGTAGAGTATTTATGTTTTAAATAAGATGCACTAAAATGACTAAACAATGACTACGCATGCATCTAGAGCTCTATTAGACACTTATTTATACAATTTATCATACAAAAGCAGATTTAGGGGTGACTTGCTCTTTATAAAACCGTGGAATTGACTGGTCAAAGTACTTAGGAAGAAATAAATCTATACTCTCATTCTCTTTCATGCCATTCTGATGAAAGATGAAAACTCCTGTCTGATACGCCTCTGTTCTGCAGATAAATGTTAAATACTCCACCAGTACAATCCAGTATCCTGCAACCTGCCTCACTTTTACACCTTTTAGCATATTGGGACCGACGTAGGAGGGTACAGTGTCTAGCCGAAGGACACTTCGACAAATGGCAGGGCTGACGCTTCAATCCCTGATCTTCTGGAGGCTGATTGCATCGCTGCAAACCTTTGACAGATTTACATGCATAAAAAAAGTTAGTGTCGAGAGATACTAAAAAGAAAAACACAGGTGCCAGTTTTTAATTAAACAGCCATTTGTGAAACAGACGGAAAACATGAAATAGCTAATGTGCTTTAAAAAACCTTCGTCGCGTGAACTCAAACTGGCTAATTAGCCAGAAAACATGGACAAAAAAAAATGATTTCATTGCAGAGGCCCTCCAGAATGATTTAGCTGATTTAACACAACAAAAGCTGCAGAACAAGCAAAAAAAAAACAACAACAAAAAAAAAACCAAAAAAAAAAACCCACGACTTTAGGTCATCAAGCAATACTATAAAATAACACTAAAAGTCATGTGTTCAGATTAACTCTTGATGCTTTTTGCCAAATATAGAAACCAATTCTGAGCCCGTAGTGAGAAGGGTTACAATCTGTTTAATTCCCATGTTTCCAACATAAATAATAAATCAATATGAAATACATATCTCATGAATTGCTGTGCAGTGAGGTATAATTATGAGTGATTACTGCCAGCTTTTAATTTTGCATTCTGCTATGAGAACCCAACTTTCTGCACCGGTTGCAGCTGTCTTATTGACATCTTTCAGAAAGCGCACAAAGCCAAGGGAGCGACTTACCTTGTAGTTGGTGGTCTATTGTTCATTAAGCTCTTATTGTGAAACAGAATCTGCAGTGATATTCTTTTTAAAGTCATGATCGTCCCAAGCTGCAACCACAAAAGAAACTTTCGACCCCACTGCCAGCCGAGCAGCTGAGAACGATCAGGCAGGATGAGCGCCATTCAGTAAGCAACAATTCTCAAGCTTTCTACGCTGTTGCCTCAACAACACTTGGGTGATTACTGTTTGTCTTCCAGGTTTGATTTCTGACAAAGCAGCATGTAAATGTGCCTCTGTCAGGCAGCTTGCTTTGGGAATTTTGTTTAATAAATGGAGCATAAAGTCACCGCTTACAAACAAGAAAATCTCCAGAAATTTAATTGGAGGGGATATTTGGGCCAAATGCTGTGCAGGAACCGGAGTTTGGTCAAAGTTTTATGCAACTTTCTCCCTGCGTGTTGATCAAAGCCCATCAAGGTTTACACTTTTTTTTACGTTCAACAAGTAAGGAGCATCCCTGCTCGCCGCCAGCACACGCAACAGCAAATGATCAGAGAGGAAATTAAAGCAGGCTGATGAGGACTCTTGAGATGTGCTCTGAAGATCGTATGCATGATATGGACACTCTACAATGGTTCCAAATCTGTTCACCGCCACCGCGTCTCCGCTGATGAGGGGCAAGACACGAGGAGACAAATACAATCTATGATGACAGTTAATCATTTCTGTTAATCTGTGTGTCACGGCCCACTGATCAGAGTCTGAGTTATAAGGGGATTCATTTGGAAATGTTCGAAGAGAAAGGCAATGAGATGAATACAAATAGAGCGATACAAAGGGTTATTATGAAACCTGCTCGCCTGTCATATTGCTCTCTGACATGTTCTCTCTCTTTCTCTCTCTTCATTTCTTCCAGGTTGGGTGGAGCAGGAGACGTATTATTAACATTCAGTCTGAATGGTGCGTCTGCGTGTGAGTCTGCATTCATCTGTGTGTTATTTCTGAGTGTGAGAGGGTAAAAACTGTGTGTGTGTGTGTGTGTGTGTGGGGGGGGGGTTGTCAGTTGTAATATTGCATGGATCAGTTCACAAATCTGATTATCATAAAATACTGCTGAAAATAAGCTTTTGGACTGCTCTGAGTTTTACTCTTTCCTGTTTTATTAGAAAACGTTTCCAGTGGGAGGATTTTCATGCGCACCTTTGTGCCGTCTATAAACTGTTACCAAAGCGATGTGCCATGGCCTGTTGGGTCATAAAGCAATGCCAAATGTTCTTCATCGTGTCAAATGTATAAAATAAAGTGGATTGGAAAGAATCTCTGGCTTCAAAGCTTGTTGGGTCCATCATTTCTTTCTTATACGTGATCATAAAAGCAGACATCTTTAGCTCCATATATTAAGCTGGTTTCTGCTTTTATGTCTTTAAAATACAGTTTATTTACAATGTTTCTCAAAAGCTGCTGTAAAGTTATATAAAATGGATGCAAAATGCAAATTTCTGCAAATAATTACAATTCTATATTCAGTCTTGAATTATACAAAGAGAACATATGAAACAACACAGCTGCAGCAGATCCATTCATTTGGAATTATATAAACAAAAACAAGTGCATGACACGTGACTTCCTGTCATTACAATTGACTTGTGGGTTATAAATTATAAATTGATTTGTAATGTTTGCAACAGAGAAGATCTGTTTATATGTTTATGAATTATCTGCATGCTTTTCTGTACGGCTTTTTAAAGAAATTTGAACCCACTCTAAAGAAAATATTTAACCTCCAGGTCTTTCTTTTCACACCACATAATATTTGACCATTTTCAATTATTAAAAAAATAAGTCAAGCGAAATGTCTGACAATAAATTAGACTGAAGACCGAAACTGAGCGGCCACGACCTCCTGACTTTCTGGTGGCACAGCATTAAAAAATGAAATACACGTTTCGGTAGTACAAATCTCTCCGCAGGTTCAGCAATGAAAATGCTAAATGCAGTTCATCACAGCTTCTGCAAATAAAATCAAGCTTTACAGTGTAAAGGAACCAGAAAAAATTAGTATTAACCGATAATATCTGCAGCTCATTTTGGCCATGCCAAGTTGTAGTGAGGAGCAGTGATTTGAGAAACCAAAAGGAAACTCATTCTGATACCACTCCAGTGAATTAAATCAAATATCTACTTTTATTCTCAAAACGATGAATCAGTGCAGCAAAAGCTAGCTGGTGTTCCACAAAGACCTACTCTTCTTGGACTACAACTGTTCAGTCGACATTGTAACGATCTTCCAGATGAACTGTGATGTTCAAAGTTATGCAAATGACTGTTTAATTTACATGCATGGTTACAGTCTGATACAAGAAGAAGAACAAGAAGAAAATATCATTTCTAAAGCGCCTCTCAAGATAAAAATCACGAGGCGCATCACAAAAACAAAAAAAGTAAAAATATTAAAAAGCATTTAGAAAATGTTTAAAAATATATTTAAAATGAGCAAAAAGAGACAATTGTGATAAAAAATGTTAAGAAAGAGAGAGAGTGAATAGGAAAAGGGGAAATCGGTGGATCCTGAGGAAGGTGGAATAGGTGGGGAGAGCAGAATAAAGAGAGAGTGGTGAAGAAGGTCATACAAAAGCCAGCTTGAACAAGTGAGTCTTCAGCTGCTTTTTGAAGGAGCCCACTGAGTCCACTGATGTCAGGCTCAGGGGGAGAGAGTTCCAGAGTCTGGGGGCCACAGCAGCAAATGATCTGTCACTTTTGGTCTTTAGTCTGGTGCGCTGCACAACCAGTAAGCTTTGATCACTGGACCTCAGGGACCTGCTGGGGGTGTAGGGACTAAGAAGATCACTAATGTAAGATGGTGCTTGTCCATGTAAGGCCCTATAGACCAGAACCAGGATCTTGAAATGAACCCTGAAGTTGACTGGCAGCCAGTGAAGCTGGAGGAGAAGCGGGGTGATGTGGGTGTGTTTGGAGGACTTGGTCAGAAGCCGAGCACAGGCATTCTGAACCACCTGTAGACGGTTCAGGGAGGTTCTGCTCAGACACGTGAAAAGAGAGTTACAGTAGTCTAAGCGTGAGGAGATGAAGGTGTGGAGAACTGTCTCAAGTTCGGAGCGGGACAGAATGGGACTCAGCTTAGCAACGTTCCTGAGATGGAAGAAGGAAGAGCGAACAAGAGAACTGACATGAGAATCCAGGGTGAGAGCTGGGTCAAAGGTCACGCCAAGATTACTGACAGAAGGTTTGGTGTGGGAAGCAAGCTGACCAAGAGAGTCTCTGACTTTGGGAACCAGCTTGTATGGGGCACAGATGAGGATCTCAGTCTTATCTTCATTCAGCTGTAGAAAGCTCCCAGCCATCCAGGTTTTGATAGAGTCTAAGCAGGAGTGTAACAGCTGCAGCTTAGACATCTCGTGGGGCTTAAAGGAGATGTACAGTTGGATGTCATCTGCATAAAGATGGTAGGAGATTCCTTTGAAGGATCTCAGGATGTGCTGAAGAGGAAGCAGATAGAGGAGGAAGAGCAGAGGCCCCAGCACAGAACCTTGTGGGACACCATGGGTAAGAGAGGTGGTGGAGGACCTAAACTTGGAGATGGCCACAGAAAAGGAGTGCTCAGAGAAGAGAGGTGGTGGAGGACCTAAACTTGGAGATGGCCACAGAAAAGGAGTGCTCAGAGAGTTAAGAGGAGAACCACTCCAGAGCAGATCCTGATTGGCCTACCCAGTCTCTCAGCCTCTCCAGTAGCAGGTGATGGTCAACAGTGTCAAAGGATGCAGTCAGGTCCAGCAGGACCAGAACAGAACAAGTTGTTGAAGTACTGACAGCATGAAACAACAGTGCTGTTTACAATTAAATTAGCCAAAAATATAAATAAAACTGTTTGAAAGTTTTCGGCAAGTTTTACATTCAAAGCCTGATTGGTTTATATCAGGTGAGAGGCTACAAATCATTTTATACAAGTAATTATGAGTCAAGTTTGATTTTAAACTCTTATAAAAGACTCAAGTGAAATAAAGTCTGTAACAGGGTCAGATTTAAACTTCAGGTTTAAGAGGAATGACATGTCAACAGAAGCAGCCAAGATGCAAACCTTATGGTAAATCTAACTGTCTTCAGTCATGGCCCTTTTATTTAAAAAGAGAAAACAACAGAACTAGCAAAACATCATCCCATATCATACATAAATTGGAAAAAATCTGTTTTTATTATTATTTCAGCTGTTTAGTATATTTTAACTCACCCTAAAATTTATAATGTTGAAAATACAATTTGCCTAAAATATAAGGTTTTAAAAACAAAGCTGCAAGGAAGAAGAAGAGAGTGCTGAGCCAGAAGGCAAAGCTCTTGATTTACCGGTCGATCTATGTTTCTGCCCTCACCTATGGTCACAAGTGACCGTAAGAATGAGATTACAGATCCAAGCGGCTGAAATGAGTTTTCTCTGCAGGGTGGCTGGGCTCTCCCTTAGAGATAGGGTGAGAAGCTTGGTTATCCGGGAGGGGCTCAGGGAAGAAGAAGAAGAAGAAGAAGAAGAAGAAGAAGAAGAAGAAGAAGAAGAAGAAGAAGAAGAAGAAGAAGAAGAAGAAGAAGAAGAAGAAGAAGAAGAAGAAGAAGAAGAAGAAGAAGAAGAAGAAGAAGAAGAATATCTAAACAATTTAATTTTGAGCAGTTAAATAGTTTTCTATCAGTAGCTTACAAAAAACAAAGCCTTTACCTTCCTCCTTCTTGAGCAGTGAATAAAATATTTGGAAAGTAATATTAGTATGTTAACAACATAGTCCGCTTGTAAATCCTTCAGGTTGATTCCAAATATGATGTGGTCCAAAGTGAAAGAGTCGTGCAGCTGGACTTTAGAATAAAGCCAGTCCTTAAGGTCTTCCCAAAACATATTTGTATAAATACAGTGAAAGAAAATATGGTCTGTGGTTTCAGCATTAACGTCACATGAAGACACAGTTGCTACGATCAATGTTAAACTTTATTCTAAGTAGTTTACTGAATGGATAGATTCCATTCAAAACTTCAAAATGATTTTGTTTTACCTTTGGGCTTACTGGGAATTAGAAATATTGGGTTCTCCATTTTGTGACCTCTGCTCCAGGGAATTTCTGAAGAATGGAATTTCTATTTAAACACTGTGGGTAAAAATTATCATTCAGATAGTTACGAAGAGTTTTATTTGATATTTCTTTCTTAAAGTCTTGTTCCATGATATTAAGTGATGGTAGGATGGGTGGAGATAAATATTCCTTAATAGCATTCTGTAAAAGTTGCTTGACTGGCAGGGGAATCGATTTACATTTTTTTTATTCAGTTTTGTTGCTGACAATATTGTAGATGGAACAGAAATTTTCATAACTCAACCAGTTACCCTGATTATCTAAGAGGTGAAAAATTGACCAGATTCCTTTATCCATCCAGTACTGTAGAAAGAGAGATTTACCATTACACAGAACATATCTATTATTTCATTTTGGTGTTTGATGAGGTGTAAAATTGTGGTTGTACACAAATTTCCAGCATAACAGAACTTGTTTGTGAAAGGACGACAACTTAATTGGCAATTTTTCTATTTGGAAATCACATTTAAGGACAAACTCAATAACTCCACTTTTTTCAAATATTCCTCTGGAGAAAATTAATATATTTTGACTGTCCTCACGCAGATAAACAACATCCGCTACGTCATTTCCGCACTCCCTGTCAAACATGGCGCTGCTTTTAAGGTCAGTACATCTGTAACAACGTAACTTTTAGCTTCGGGGTCAGCTTTTTGTGTTGCTTTTATACGTTGGTGAGTTACGCCGACATCTTTAATACAGAAATTCGTTTCTACTGAACGTAAAATTACCCGAGTTTTATTTTTAACAGCGCTTTATTGCTCATGTGATTTGGAAATGTGGATGTTAGCTAGCGTTAGCTGGTGGACTCTTGTTTTCAGCTGCAGCAGATCACAGAGTGGACTTTGCCTCTGAAACTAATTATTATCGAGATCAAACGAGTGCGTGTCCAACATTAGCCTTCATGCGGGTGTTCGACACACATTTAATCCACTGTTGTTAATCCATGAGTCTTTGGCGACGTGTTTCTGTAGCATTTAGCTTGATGTTGAGTAACTGCTGGTGTCTAGATGAAAGTCAGCGTTCAGTTTTGCCCACTTAGTTTTTGAAGTTGCAGATGAACATATTTAGAGTAGATCAGAAAACCAGTTACGTTTCTTCCTAAAAGTGAGATTAACTGATTAGTTAATTTATATTTTCCGTTTCATAGAATAATGCGTATTTTTCCTGTTAGGAGTGCTCAACCTCAACTACTTAAAAAAGGAAGTCCAGGAAGCATTTCTATATGGACCCTTCTGAGTGTGACAAAACCCCTTCGGTTTAGTTTTCACTTTCATTTGAACTTTCCAAAGCAATGCTGTTTATTATATTATATCTGTAACTGTTTGAAGAAGAGAAGAAGAAGATGGAGGAAAGTAAAGCCTTTGTTTTTTGTAAGCAACTGATAGAAAACTATTTAACTGCTCGAAATTACATGAAGTATAACTAAGCAGTAGTACATTTGAATGCATTTGATAACCTGCAAATCTTTGAAGACCTGTAATCTAATGTTTAGATATTGAATGCACATTCTTCTTCTTCTTTGTCTTAGCTTTGTTTTTAAAACCTTATATTTTAGGCAAATTGTATGCAAATTTTCAACAATAGAAATTTTAGGGTGAGTTAAAATATACTAAACAGCTGAAATAATAATAAAAACAGAATTTTTCCCATTTATGTATGATATGGGATGATGTTTTGCTAGATCTGTTGTTTTCTCATTTTAAATAAAAGGGCCATAACTGAAGACAGTTAGATTTACCATAAGGTTTGCATCTTGGCTGCTTCTGTTGAAATGTCAGTCCTCTTAAACCTGAAGTTTGGCAGATTAAATCTGACCCTGTTACAGACGTTGTTGATCAACTGCTCCAAGAGCCTTCCATATCTGTGTGTTTTGGATAACTTGCTCTCTAATAACCCAGGAAATTATCAAGTCCTTAACAAAGTTGTATGTATGAGATAAATGTGTTGGAACAAACTAAGGTATAAAAGATTAAGGTCTTTATTGCATAATAATAATAATAATAATTAATAATAATGGTTATAATAATAATAATTAATTAACTAGTTTAATTATTATTATTATTATTATTATTATGGGATAAAAAAATCCCTCTAACTCCCAGTAATCTACTTTGTCCGCTTATTTCAGTGTACCAGCCACTAGCAGCATTTTTTTTTTACTTCAGATCTTTACAATGAGTGTTTTTCATGAATGCTGCAAAATGTCAACATTTATCCAGAAATGTGATCTTTTAAAATTTGTTTTCTTTTCTTTAGAACATTTGCCCGCCGGGGTGTTTGTCTCTCCAAGCCTCACTATAATGCCCTCTGTAGACAGTAAGTTCTGTGTTTGAGCTCAAACCACAGTTAACAAATGCAAATTAAACTGTCTCAAACCATCCTATCTCCTCTTCTCTTTCTTTTTAGTGTCGCTCCAATGGGAAGTACAGCTAAAGAGGAGATGGACAAATTTTGGTCCAAAAATACCAGATTAAACAGACCCGTGTCCCCTCATGTCACAATCTATAAGTAAGTATTTATGACTCTCTGCAAAAACAAAACAACAAAGGATTTCACTGAAACGGTGGTCTTAAAGTATAATCATTAGCCTTGGTTTTATATTGCCAGGTTCTTTTGTCCTGAGCAGGGTTTTTCCTGGCTCAAATTGAGGCAGAGGTGGTACCATCCTGACCATGCGCCAGCACATGCATACTCTGTGCATTCCACTGCCTCACTTCTTTGAAGGCAAAATATTTTTTTGTTAAGTGTTCTAATCTAAGCTTCTGTTGATTAATTAAATATTCCATTTGACAATGTTTCAAGTGAAACAAAACTGGTTTGCTGCTAAAAATATGAAATAAAACAACAAAATTATCAGGCTGAAATAACAGACTCTTATCATAAAAGGCTCAATATGCATAATATGCATTAGATTGGCGTTTAGTTCCCTTTTTCCCATCTGATATGTATAGTAAACATATGTTTAAATATTTGACCTACATTTCAGTAACATTTTAGATTTGTATTAATAACACTCATCTTAGTCAAAATAACACATAAATATATCCAGTAAAATAGAATGCATTTCATTAACATGCATTTGTATTGGAAATGGTAAAAACATTTAATTTCTGCTGCTAACAGTGTAATGGTGGCATGTCTATTATGTACGGGTTTGCAATATTCCACTTTAAATTACGTTCAAAGATAGAAGCGTTTGTGAATTATATACTACAACGATTTGCCGTACACTTGTAGCAGCAATGTGACTCGTATCCAGTGTTGGGAACATTACTTTAAAAAAGTAATTAGGTAGTTATGGTTACTGTTTACTTTGTCAAAAACTTAAGTAACGAATTACCAAGAAAAATAACTACTTAGTTACTTTTTTTTATTAAAGAATGTTAGAAAAATGGGTTCCCCTCTTAATTGAACTTACTTAATTTACTATAAATTACTACAATAGTGAAATATAAATGACTAATGACTGGAACATAATGAAATGTATGTCCAAATGTTTTTTTATAAACCTGCATATTTAAATAAATAACAGGAGGAACTACTAACAGGAACATTACACTTATCTAGACTATTAAAAGGTGTGATATTTAACAAGACCCCAATCAGCTAAAATTTAAAAGTGCAAATAGAAACACCTGTAAAGGTTCCCGAGCCTTTAAATGGTCTCTTAGTCTAGTTAAATTACAGAAATAAATGTAATTTTGCACAGTATTTAATTTTTCCAGCTTCACTTAATTGTCTGTTTTTAGTAGCATTTCTGTTGCTGGTAATCTAGTAACGGTTAAATAAATAAATAAAATCCTTTAAAATGACTCTAGAAGAGGCACAAGCCTGATGGAGGACTTATATTTACTAACTTGGGTCAGACCCAAACACAGAAGAGCTGAAGCTGGGTGGTGAACACACACGGGTAGTTCTAATAACACCTGAGCTCCATGACGTCTGAGACTGATGCATCAGTGTTACAGCGGGACTAAACACATGATCAGAAACAGGTTACAGCTGGAAGGTCTTAGCCTGGCAAGCCAGACTAAATAAATGCATTATTTAGTCTGGCCATGCTCCATTGACGGCTCTCGGTTGTGGGGCGGGTTCTACCGTTGTCTTTCAAATGATCTCTGCATTCCACTGGACAATGAATGTGGCATACTCTTGTTTCACTCTGTTGCATCATCCCACCCACCAGGCATATAGAGTGCCCTGATTGGCCCACAAAGTGGATAAAGCTCTGTGATTTGTTCACTAAGCAGATAGAGCACTATGATTGGCCCACCATTATGGACCAATCACAGCTCTTTGTGTGTTTGAAACCCCTCTAGAGAGCTGTGATTGGCTAGCCAGAGTCCTGGTAGGAGCTGTGGAGGTTCCAATGGAGCATGCCTAGACCAAACTTTGCAAAGCAAGAATTTGGTCTAGTTCACTAGGCTAGGAAGGTCTAGGAAGGTAGAAGATCAGGACGTCTGAGCGGTGAACAGGTGAGCGGACCTTCGGGACGTCCCGCTGTCACGCTAAGAAGGGCACGGCTGCAGATCCACACCTGCAGCCGTAGACTATTAATCACGTCTTCCTCATTCTTCACGGGCCGTGATGCGCTTGGATGAAAACATCTACCTCTTTAGCTCCTGATCAGCTGATGACAGCTTCAACACACCGCGCTGCTTAACGCACACATTTCCTTATCAGTAACAGAAACGATCGTTTTGATAAAAGAAGACGGTAATTAATTAGTTTGCTCGTTACTGAAAAAAATATTTTTTTTAGTAACACAGTTATTTTAAACGGCGTTATTCCCATCACTGCTCTGTTGTGTCTATAGCAAGCAGTGACTGAGACAGTGAGAACACTGAGGGTCTCCGCCCACCCGGCCAATCATCATCGTGTTTGTAAGTGCGTTACCGACACCCCTTTCTCCCTGGCTGCAGCTGAAGTGCGGCGGTCAGAAAGCTTCACACTGTTGCTCAATGTTCGAAAAGCACATAGTAACGCACAACCTTCCATCCCCAGTAACGTAACGGCGTTGCAGCAGTGGGAAAAGTAATTAATTAGATTATTTTGTTGCCTAAAAAAGAACGCCGTTAGTAACGCCGTTATACTTAAACAGCGTTACTCCAAACACTGCTCGTATCTGCAGCGGTTCTGATCCGTAGCGCTGCAGGATGCAGAATAAACAGGATGGTGGGGACTTTTCATGCGCTTGTAGAGTTTAGTCTTTCTTAGTTTTACAATCGTCATATGTTTTTCTGCGCGCCACTTGATCGTGAGACTGCTACCCGTTAGCTTTAGCATTAGCCAATCTGCGTGCAGCTGCACTTTTGATCCCAAACTTTGGACCGGTTCTACCTTTGCTAGTTCCTTTATTTTCCTCCACTGCATCCAGATGACCACACTGTGCGCCAGTAAAAAGTGCTTTTCTGACACGTAACTTACTTTTGTTCAATAAAGTTCTGGAAAAAATAGTAATTCAAAGATGTTGCACCAGTGCTACGTTTAAAAACAGACAGACACGCACAGACAGTCTTTTTGGTCGCACTGTACAGCCCTGCTCTGATGTGGAAAAGCCTGGGCGAAAATCAGGACGTCAATAGCACCAACCATAGATATGTACCAACTAGCGAGAAAAGCAATTTTTGATCTTTTTCTACAGCGGTTGTAATGTTTTTCGGTGCACCGCTGCTGATGCAGCGCCCCGGTAGTGGCGCAACGCTGCAACTGTAGTTAAAATAACATCCATATACAGTGGGGCAAAAAGTATTTGGTCAGCCACCGATTGTGCAAGTTCTCCCACTTAAAATGATGACAGGGGTCAGTAATTTTCATCATAGGTACACTTCAACTGTGAGAGACAGAATGTGAAAAAATCCATGAATTCACATGGCAGGATTTTTAAAGAATTTATTTGTAAATCAGGGTGGAAAATAAGTATTTGGTCAATAACAAAAATTCAACTCAATACTTTGTAACATAACCTTTGTTGGCAATAACAGAGGTCAAACGATTACTATAGGTCTTTACCAGGTTTGCACACACAGTAGCTGGTATTTTGGCCCATTCCTCCATGCAGATCTTCTCGAGAGCAGTGATGTTTTGGGGCTGTCGCTGAGCAACACGGACTTTCAACTCCCTCCACAGATTTTCTGTGGGGTTGAGGTCTGGAGACTGGCTAGGCCACTCCAGGACTTTCAAATGCTTCTTACGAAGCCACTCCTTTGTTGCCCGGGCGGTGTGTTTGGGATCGTTGTTGTGTTGGAAGACCCAGCCACATTTCATCTTCAAAGCTCTCACTGATGGAAGGAGGTTTTGGCTCAGAATCTCACGATACATGGCCCCATTCATTCTGTCCTTAACACGGATCAGTTGTCCTGTCCCCTTAGCAGAAAAACAGCCCTAAAGCATGATGTTCCCACCCCCATGCTTCACAGTAGGTATGGTGTTCTTGGGATGCAACTCAGTATTCTTCTTCCTCCAAACGCAACGAGTTGAGTTTATACCAAAAAGTTCTACTTTTGTTTCATCTGACCACATGACATTCTCCCAATCCTCTGCTGTATCATCCATGTGCTCTCTGGCAAACTTCAGACGGGCCTGGACATGCACTGGCTTCAGCAGCGGAACACGTCTGGCACTGCAGGATTTGATTCCCTGCCGTTGTAGTGTGTTACTGATGGTGACCTTTGTTACTTTGGTCCCAGCTCTCTGCAGGTCATTCACCAGGTCCCCCCGTGTGGTTCTGGGATTCTTGCTCACTGTTCTCATGATCATTTTGACCCCACGGGATGAGATCTTGCGTGGAGCCCCAGATCGAGGGAGATTATCAATGGTCTTGTATGTCTTCCATTTTCTAATAATTGCTCACACAGTTGAGTTTTTCACACCAAGCTGCTTGCCTATTGTAGATTCACTCTTCTCAGTCTGGTGCAGGTCTACAGTTCTTTTCCTGGTGTCCTTCGAAAGCTCTTTGGTCTTGGCCATAGGGGAGTTTGGAGTCTGACTGTTTGAGGCTGTGGACAGGTGTCTTTTATACAGATATTGAGTTCAAACAGGTGGCATTAATACAGGTAACGAGTGGAGGACAGAAACGCTTCTTAAAGAAGACGTTACAGGTCCGTGAGAGCCAGAGATTTTCCTTGTTTGAAGTGACCAAATACTCATTTTCCGCCCTGATTTACAAATAAATTCTTAAAAAATCCTGCCATGTGAATTCATGGATTTTTTTTCACATTCTGTCTCTCACAGTTGAAGTGTACCTATGGTGTAAATTACTGACCTCTGTCATCATTTTAAGTGGGAGAACTTGCACAATCGGTGGCTGACTAAATACTTTTTTGCCCCACTGTAGCTGGGGGCAGAGTGGCGGCACTAAATTAGCTGGAGGCGGCCGCCACACAAATTTGAATGCAGGAAAAAACCTGTGGAGACTCTGTAAATATTCTGTTGCGAAATGAATTTGCATTTGCAGAACCGGCTTTTCATATGTTAATTCTAATTAAACAGAAGGACAAGCCCATTTAAGGGAATTGGATCAATAAACAGCTCAGTGTGTAGTTGAATAGAATATCTGCAGTTAATAAAACATCTCACACACCTCCCTGAAAACTCAGCTTTTGCTTGGATCTTGACTCTTTTTATGCAGTTAGTTCAAAAAGGCAACATTATTTTTCCTTTGCCATCAGAACATTGTCAGGACCGTGGGGCTACCTGACAGAAAATTACAATGAATCCACGTTTTTGCACTGATTTGGCCTTTAAAAGCTGCCTGTTTCAGTTTAAGTGTTATTTGAAATAATTTTTTGCTCAGAAGATGTTTTGTCTCGCTCCCTTTTCTTCTTGTTGCATGTGGAGCTCCTCTTGGAACCTTGTTCAGATCTTCTCACTTGATTGGCTTGCTGAATCTTTCTGGTTAATCATTTATACAGACATAAATGTGTCATGTGATGTGTGTCTATTTGCATTTTAAAGACAAATATGAGTTTAGCTCATCCCATTAGTGTATCTTAGTCATTTAGTTTGGTGGATGCTGTGCTTGCGTTCATCTAATATGAAGCATTCTCTTGGGTTCCAGGTGGTCCGTCCCCATGATGATGTCCATCACACACAGAGGAACTGGAATAGCACTCAGTGGAGGTAACTCTTCTGTTTTATTTATTTTTAGTAAAATGTTTGATATGCGAGTACTTCCGACTCACCGATGATATAACTCTGACTTAAATGACACTCCGCCCTGAGGTTGTTAATGCTTCTGACTGACCCTGGAAATCCCTACAGGGCATTAAGCTCCTTTATTGATTTACTCTGAGAGCATTTACTGGAATAAAAACAACACATGTCATTGAAAACAATTAAACCCTGGCATTTGTGAAGGAAGCTCAACAGCTTTTACCTGTTGGAAAGTGTTGATCTGCCTCTGATGCAGAACATAAGTGCCAGTGACATTGATGGAACAAAGTGTAAAAGCCTAGTATGGTTTGGGTTTAGCTGCAAGATTTAATGATTTACCTTTTTTAAGGCCAAATTTGCTGAGAAAATGTTATTTTTACTTGTTGTTTTTCAAATATTATCGATCACTCTGAGTTTTTTTATGGAGGCTGAACATAAAAAGTCTCCTACACCTATCTCCTGCATTAGCTTCTGATAGAAAACAGACGGTGAAACTCTAGGATCAGAAAATCCTGACAGATCTACGTCACACGGACACTTAACATTCATGGACTCACCCATCTTGTCTCACGACGGGGAAGGCTGCTGTTGGTTTAGCGTCCAGGAAACAGCAACTCCACCACAAAGCAGAATTCCTCCAGGCTTGTGTTACTGGTGGAAATAAAACATCAACGTTGCAGAGCAAACCGAGTCAGTGGTGGTCGTGTTGCTGTTAGCCAATCAGAGGCGAGATGTCCAAATATCAGGAAATAAGACTTAAAATCCTGTGCTTACCATACCATAGTTTATTTATATAGGACATTTAAAACGCAGCATGGGGGCTGCCCAAAGTGCTGCACAGGCTGGACCAAAGCACGACCAATCAAAGCAATAAAAACAGAAGATAAAAATACAGATCAATAAAAGCAAATAAAAAATGAGGAATACTAAGAACACAATAAAACACAAGTCACGGTCTAAAAGCCAAATCGTAGAAGTGGGTCTTTAAACGAGATTTAAAAACCACCAAAGATGGAGCCTGCCGAACTATAATGGGTAGAGTTCCACAGCTTTGGGGCAGCATGTACAAATGCTCGTTCCCCCGTGATTTGTAATGTATCCGGGGCGTGCAAAGCAGCAGGAGGTCAGCCGACCTCTAAGTGCACGTGGGTACATAGGGAGTGAGCAGGTCAGAGAGATAGGGAGGTGCCAGGTCATTAAGTGCTTTAAAGACAAAAGTCAATAGCTTAAACTGTACTCGGAAAATGACAGGGAGCCAGTGAAGACGTACCAGGACAGGGGTAATATGGCAGAGGTGGAAAGTAACGAATTACATTTACTCACGTTACTGTAATTGAGTAGCTTTTTTGTATATTTATACTTTTTAAGTTATTTTTAAAATCTTTATTTTTACTTGAGTACGTATTTTTTTTAAAAGAATCGTAATTTGCTACATTTTAAATCATATCCATTACTGAGTAAAAATAAATTGTAGGCTTAACAAACTAAAAACACGTGTCGCAGGGTCGGGACAGAAAGAGACACCTGCACGAGCGCCGCGTCTAAACTGTGGGGGGTGTGGGTGCGGGTGCACACTTTTTCTCAAAAACATCAGTTCAGTCCCTGTGATCCACGCTGTTTACCTCCTCTCTCCCTCCTCTCCTGTGGGTTGGAACCCGCACCTTCGCGCACCGGTGTTACGTCATCAGAATTCTGCTCGGTTCGGTAGTGAGATTCGGTTCCGTGTTTAAAATGTGTTTCCCAACCGCTCCGCACGGAAGCGGCAAAATAACGTTTAGCGCTCGTAACAAGTGGATTCTTAGCGCTCTGCTCATAAAACAGAAGACCTGCAGGCCTCTGTGAGTTAAAACATCCTGATACTGTTCAGGTGTAAACATTGTGCTCCATCCCTGTGTTTGAACTCAGAAGATGCTTCTTGATGCCACAGATATGTGATGACTTAGCTTGTTTCTTTATTTTACTCCAGAATAAGAGATTAAATTATTACAAAAGCAGTTCAATGTAGTTAAATTAGTCGTTCAAATGATTCTAACATGCTGCAGTGTGTGTGTGTGTGTGTGTGTGTGCATGCGTGCGTGCGTGCGCACACTAGTGTGCGTGAACTGGTGTTGTGGTTTTGCACTGATGTAGCCATCTTTACGCTGACAAAAATGTAACTAAGTAACTTACTTTGAGTACATTTTATTTACAATACTTTTTACTTTTCCTTGAGTAAAAAGTTAGGCAAGTACTTTTACTTGTACTTGAGTAAAAAATGATCAAAGTATTGGTACTCGTACTTGAGTAGGACATTTTAGTACTCTTTCCACCTCTGTGATATGGCTACGTCGGTGCGTGTTTGTCAAGAACTTGGCAGCAGCGTTCTGGACGACCTGTAGCCGATTTTAGGGCAGAGACTGGAGCACCAACTAGGAGGGCATTTGCATAGTCCAGGCGAGAGGTAATGAAAGCATGGATGACTCCAAATGCCTCCGCTTCCCTCTCCTCTGGCTCGTTTCTATTTCCTGAAACAAGAGCGCCAGAGCTTTTTCTCTGAGATTGTTTCACAGAGCATCCATGTTTACAAGAGATCACTGCGGATGTTCTAAAACAAGTGATTTTGGTCTGTAAGCTTTCCTTGTGTTAATAAAAGAGCAATTTAATGAACAGAAACTCCATCAGAATGAGAATTATCTTATGTCTTTGTATTACATAAACGTGTTTTTACTGCTTTCATATCCAAATATTTTACAAAAAATGAAGCAGCACTCAGTCATTTTCATTACTGTTGTAAAAAAATCAGACATCTGACGCAGTTTAGCTCTTTTCATTATCAAGAGAGGTCTAAGAATAAACGGGGATAATGAAGGAGCTCATTATGTGTAGAAATTAGCAGGATACATATTTTCACACGTCTTTTGCATCATCAGTGCTTCTCTGTCTGTGTTTAGCTATTTCAGCATTTGCTGTGGCAGCTCTGGTGTTACCTGGAAACTATTCCTACTACTTGGACTTGATCCACTCGTTGTCAGTCGGCCCATACCTAATCGGGTTGGCTAAGTTTGGCATAGCCTTCCCCTTGTCGTATCACACCTACAACGGCATCCGTCATTTGGTAAGACCTGCTCGTTTACATACGTTTGCATTCTTATGACTGACATTTGGTAGCAGCGTGCAGCTGTGGGAATGTTTATAACATTTAGAAGGTGTCACGTCTCTTAAGTTAGTTGTTTTTCTTTTTTGTCATGATTTCTCATTTCGCTCTATTAGAGAGGTGATTGAATTCATGATGTCTGTATTCTGCAGATGCTTCGTTTGTTAAACAGCCGTCTTCTTATTTTTATTGTAATTATTTTCTCTTTTTAAACAGTGTTGGGATATCGGCAAAGGCTTCAAAATTCCAGACGTCTACCGCACCGGGTACATCGTCCTCGGTCTGTCCATCATCACCTCCCTAGCTTTGGTTGTCATGTGAACGCTGGATGACGGGTGAAGGGGAGTCGGAGGGAATGTGGCTTGGATGCAGTGTGCAAGCTTTATTTATGTGTTTTGGACGACTGCAGGTCCCCCTCATCAAAAACCTTAAATAAAGGATTATAATGTGTTTGAGGCAAACCTAATGTTGAATTTCTTCTCTGTTTTGCAACTAATGAGTCTAAAAAAAGCTGTGGGTCATTAAAAGTGACAGACTGCAAAGTGCATGCAAACACGACCCAGTTTTATTTTGTCGCACTCATTTCTGAGTGCCGAAAACAACCAGGAGCCTAAATTAGACGTGTCCTAAATGTCCTTATGTAATTTGTCTAATCGTGCTGTGACGTCAAATTCATTAATCACTTTTACTCCTGCCCAAGCGCTCCTGACGCTGCCAATCCAAGCTGGGAGTTTGTGGCTGAAAAGCTGTTTATAAGAAGCTTTTATTCATGTATGTTACCCTCGCCAGGCTGCAGCTGCTCAGATGCATTTTTTAACACAAGGGTAGAGGAGCCGGAACGTAGCGAGGCAGGCCGCTGGAGGAAGCTGTGTGCACGAGGCTGCTCCTCACCTGCAGCCTGCTTCAGGCTCTACCTCCCTCTGAGCCTCGCTGCAGCTCAACAGCTTTAGTCCCACAGTGTGAATGAAGGCAGGTTGCGACGTGGTGTCAGATCCAGCTCCATTTAGGAGGCGTTTGTAACAAGCGCACATGAAAAAGAAGGGTAAACGTTGAGGCAAACACCTCACCAGCTGGTTTTAAAAAATCTTTCTTGTTTACATCAACTAAGCCTGAAACGAGAGAAACAACTGAAGCATTTGAGCGCTGGCTGCAGCCGAACGAATTCACTGGTTTATTGCTCGTTGCTGGAAGGGAGTGTGCTTTAATGTGTTTATTACAGGAAAATGTTAAATTCTCTTGAGAATAAGCCTCCTGTTCAGAAGATCTTTGTGTATTTCACCAGTTTCTGCTCTAAATAAATCCCACCTGATCTGGTGGAGGAAATCTCCATATGCGTGGACTGTAGATGACTTCCTACACTGAGTCTAATCAAAGCTACAGGAAGTTTCTGACCCGAGCTGAGAGATCCATTCAGACTACAAATTGCTTTTATGATGGACTGGAAAATTACTTACGCTCTACATGATTTGGGACTGGGTTGGATGACGTTGTTCCCACCAAAGCCCATTTAAAATATGTGGGATATTTCTAATAAAAGCGACACTGAGGTGCTAAAGCATGGGCTTTTTATTTCCTACTAGAAATGAGCCCCATGGCTCATAACCGCTGATGAACTTGGAGGATTTAACATCTTTGAGACTTGCTCTGGTAATTGTGACATTATGATGTTTTGACGAGATAACCCGCCTGGAAGCAGTGGGGTTGGAGGAAGAGCTTGGGGGTCGCTGGTGGTTGTTGTGGAAACGCGGCTGCAGCACCCCCTACCGGGCACTACATTAAAACTCAGTCTGCGGTCCTGATGCTGAGGGATGGAGAGGATGCTGCGTGTCTAGGGTTGGGTGGGGGAGTATAAACCTGATTTTGATCGACAAAATATGTGCCTCAGTCTCTGTGGCGCAATGGAATAGCGCGCTGGACTTCTAATCCAGAGGCTCCGGGTTCGAGTCCCGGCAGAGATGGGATAAGATGCAATGAAATTTTGGATTAAGAAAGGTGGAGCTATGAAAATTGTATTCTTAGTCCTTCTTTTTAAAACCCCATCTCGTTTGTTGTATTTTACACACGTTTTTTCAGACACCTCAGATGGAATAGATAAAGAAGATTACTAACATGAGAATATTCAATCCTAAATGGGTTATTTTAAAAGTCTCAGACTGTATCTGGAATGTAAAAGATTCACACAGATGAATCCACCAGCTTCCACTGCCCAGGGTGTTGGTGGTCTTCTAAAGAATAACAGTTTAGTGCAGCCTCGTGGAGGAGTCACCGTTTCAGCACCTGGAGCTGTCCATCCCTCCGCGAGCTGCTCCAGTAACAAACCATTTAAAGCCATTTCCATCCTCATAAGGAGTGTTTAATGATGCCAGATGCCGCGTTTCTGTTCTCCCATTTGGTTTAGTGACAAAGGGAGATAAAAGACTTCGAGCCAGAGGATGGTTTCGTCTTGAGATGTGTTGCACTACAGATCATTACTGCTTCTGCAGGATGAAGATTGTTGAAACTGGGAGTTAATTTAGTCAAATCAAGGTGTGAAGCTCTGTGGGACTTTTTTTTTACGTACTTCAGATCCAGAACAGAAGCGTAAAGTGTTGCGCGTTTGGCGGCTCCTCGCGCCTTTTGTGCTCGCCTCAACCCCACCTCCCCCCGGCTGATTGGGCTGCCACCATCCACATTTAACCCCATCATGCCTCCCCACACGCAAACCTAATCCGCCAGTAAAACTAATCCCTAATCCTCCCTGGCAAGTTGAACAACCCTCCCCTTCTCTTGAATGCTGATTCCCAAACGGGCCAGATGCTTGACACGTCATAACCAGGACTTCCCTGCCGGAACATACAGGCAACCGTGGCAATCAGCAGATGACCTCCTGGTTTTAGGAGACTGCGCAGTGGGCCTGAAGGAAATAGGCTATCGGTTTAGAAACATAGATAAAATGAGCGGGATTACAGGGAAAGCCTATAGTGATGTTCCACTAGGATGATAACATTCCTAAAGGGCCGATAAGGTCACCGGAGTATCACAAGGACATTATGGTGATATTTCCGTGCGCTCCTCTATATCTGTTCCATCTCCTTCATGTTGCTCTCAGCCAGTAGGCCCCATGCTCTGGCCCTGTTATCCTGGCGGTATGGGCCAAATCGTATTATAATCCCCTCCCCTTCACCCTCCCTCCCTCCCCGTCCCTCCCCTCCCTCTCCGTCTTTCAGACAGTCTGTTTTTGCTGCAGTGAACGGTAACCGTGGAGAGACGGGGAGAGCCTACAAACACTGAGACACATCGAAGGAAATAGAAGAATTAAAGAGTCGCAGGAGAGGACCGAGGAGATTATTTTACCGGCAGTTTGAGCAGGAGAGCAGCGGCACCCGGAGCTTAACTGGGGGACCTTACTGGACACCAGCGCGCGCAGGACTCGACTCCGAAGGCGGAATTGAACGGTGTGTGTTTACCGAGCTTTGCCTTACAGTTTGCTTTCGTGCCACCGGTCTTTCAGCCCGCAGGGCGGATCGGAGACACCTGTCACTGCTGCTGACGCGTTCCCGTCTCCAGGAATGTGTCCGTGCGCTCTTCGCTAGAACGCGTGTAATCCGTTACGCAGCGCAAGAGCCGAGCCACCCCTGCGTGTTTTATAAATTACTCTAAATGCGCGTTTTCTTGTGCGACTCCCCCTCCTCCCCTTCGGTGCTTTTGGCTCTGCAGAAATGAAACTCGCTGGCTTGAGAGGAGTCTCTGAATCAGCTGCACACGGGCTTTTTCCTCCTTTCTGCATCAAAGAGCCGTGAGAAACGCGAGTCTCACCGATCCGGGTCATGCTGTGATTGCTATCGCCGCTGTTGTTACTCTAAACACGAGTGCACAGTAGGAACTTGTGTCCAAACACGGACGCGGATGCACTTGCTCGAGTTTTGTTTTTATTCCTCGCCTCAACAAGAAGGGCTGGGGCAACAATAAACACAGCCTTCTGCCCCATCCACCACTCCCCTCCCATCTCCACACATCCTATCCCGTACCCCCCCCCCCACACACACACACACACACACACAACACCCTACCCCACCCTCTGTCCCCGCCCTAAACGCGCGCCCGTCCCGCTGGCCGGAGCCAGAATCCGCTCTCAGCGCGTCACAGATGGACAGAGGGCTCACCTCTGCGCGGGCTACGGCTATTTTGAGAAATACGTGGAAGTGGATGTGTGTTTAAGAGGGAAATAAAAAACAGAGCTGCTTTCATGCACCGTGCAGGCTATTCTCAGCGGACGGCAGGTGCACATCGACTCTGCTTCCGTTCGCTGAACCTCCTTTCCCCATTTTCTCTTGTTTTTTTTTTTCCAGCTGGAGTTTATAATGTTCCTTTGCGTTATTTTTAAAAGAGTTAGTAGATGTTCGGTTCTGAGCGCTCCAGGCGCGCGTTTCTGTTCATCCCACCCTCAGCAGCTTGTTAAGAGTGAGAATGACTTCATGAGAAGGAAAAGAAGCCCTCCCCTCCTCCTTCTGTGATTACACCGATCATCTTCAGCAGTGGCGTCTCTAACGTGATAAGTTATGGGGCACAACAGCCATCTTATCATTTACCAACAGTGGCTGTGATTCAGATCGAGGTCACCAGTTCTCCAAATCAGTTAGTTGGCCAAATATCAACTTGATAATTTAAGGTCAAGCTTGGACTTACCAACATTTCAGAAGCTGAATTTACCAATTTTTCCTATTTTTTAATGTTAATTAAAAAAGACATAAGTATCAGTCTGTGAACACTCAAAAGCATTAATATTTCCATTATTTAAAAACTCTTCATGATTTTTTTTAAAATTCTGAACGTGTTATTAAATTTATGTAGATACTCACAGAACTGAGTTGGGTTGAGTAGCTCAAGTGTAAAAAGAAAGGTCTGGTGTTTGTGGGTTCAAGTCCTGCAGTTTAAATTAGGCCAACTTTAAAGTGAGGAAACAGGTATCTGGTACTGAAATCAAAAGTGAAAATTTGTGAAGGACTTTCAAAGTTACATGTGGTTTGTATTTGTATAGCGCCTTTTTAGGGTTCTACAACCCCCCAAGGTGCTTCACAACACAATCAGTCGTTCATCCATTCACACGCATGTGGGGATGAGCTACGATGTAGCCACAGCTGCCCTGGGGCTCGCTGACGGGGGTGAGGCGCCACCTGTCCCTCCGACCACCACCAGCAAGCAAGGTAGATTATATGTCTTGCCCAAGGACACAACAGCAGCATCTTTTGTATGTTCTTGCTGTGTTTGTCTTCAAATTTCATTTTTAGTTCTTTTTTAAACACAGATAAGGTTTCTCTTTACCTTGCTGACATTTCGTTTGCGGCTGCAAACATCCTCAGAGCTGACGCTGATGGTGGCGTCACTTCCTACTCCGCTTATCCGCAGGCAGCAGAGGACGTTGTCGCCTCATGCTGCCCGCTCTCCCCTCTCTCCGATGATGCAGTCCCATGCACGATCCAATGAGTAAACTCCATCGTCTCTGTTCAAGGTCCCACATCCACGTCTCCTTATCCAAAAAATGAACAAATAATTATTCTACCGGCACCGTAGTGGTAATGGACAAAGAAAAATATAAACAACATATGAAACAGATGCTAGAGGACAAAAATACATACAAAATACTTAAAAAAGACCCAACAGAAAACATTAAGAAAAACATGAAAAAATTACTGAACCCACTACAAGAAAAAGGCAAAATTACAGAAAAAATGTACAAACACTGGATCCCTACAGCAAACTTTACACCAAGAATCTATGGAACTCCAGAAATACACAAACCAAACACCCCACTTAGACAATAGTTGACAGCATAGGTACACCAACATACAACATGGCAAGAGATATCAGCAAAACCATCAGCCCATTATTAGTAACACAGATCAACACTGCAAAAATAGTATAGAACTGGCAAAAGAACTTAAGTAGATTACAATAGAAGATAACAACATACTCATCTCACATGACGTCACATCTCTGTTCACAAAAACACCAACCCAAAAAACCATAGACATAGTAGTTAACAGAATCAGACAGAACAAGACTTTACACAAAAGAACAAACCTGACAGCAGATGACATATCACAACTGATAGGACTGCTAGCTAACTCCACATACTTCACATACGATGACACAATATACAAACAACTGGAAGGCTTCGCCATGAGTAACCTGTTATCAGCCACCCTGTGCGAGTTTTTCATGGAAGACCTGGAACAAAAAGCCATAGCCACCGCCCCCCCAAACTGCAAAATAAAACTATGGAAACACTACGTAGACGACATACTGGAACCGAAAGGACAAACAGAAACACTAACACAACACTTAAATAACATTGACGACACAGTCAACATAAAGTTCACTTATGAGTCAGAAACGGAAGGCAGCATAGCATTTATGGACATGAAAATCACCAGGCAGACCGATGGGACCCTAAACATAAACACATACAGGAAATGGACATCAGAACACCCCACCATGCAAAAAATGTCAGTAATCAGAACATTATATCACAGAGCAAACATGATAACAGAAGAAAGAGACCGTAAACAAGAGGACAAACACATACAACACGCTTTAAAGACCTGCGGATACCTGACATGGGCAATAAACAAAGGAAAACAACAAACAACAACAGAAAGAAAAGAACAACCTAAGCAAAGAACCAGAAACCCAGAATGACAAGAACAAAAACCAGTGATAACCCTACCATACATTAACTCATTCACTGCCATTGACGACTAAAGTCGTCATTTTAGATCCAACCGTTCACTGCCATTGACGACTCGTCATTTGCATTATTTTACTGTTTGAGCATTGGAACGAGCCCCCGTGCTGAGAGAACAAACATCTCAGCCCTGAAGCTGATCTTCATCCGCATACGTCACAGATCACATGATCAGGAAGCAGACCATACATGTGTTTGGAGATCGTTTTGGGCCGTTCCTGTAAAAAAAGTGAGGTGCGAACCGGAAAAGCGTCTGCCGATCACAATTCGACAACGGATTATGAAAGAATGGATAACGCTCGAAACACACGGCTTCTTCCTGATGTAAGAGGCGAGTCTTCTCTTTGTTTAGGTTGTTTTGGCATCGACATCATGCTAGCGCGCAACGTTCTGTGACTCTTAAAAAACCCAGTAAAAACGGTGAGAAACGCTGGCAGCGAAGGCCATTAGCAATCAGGAAACGGCTGGCAGTGAATGAGTTAAAGGCCTAACAGAAAAAGTAAGAGCAACAGTGAAAACACACAACATAAACACACCAACCAAACCACACAACAGTTAGAAACAGACTGGTACACCCAAAATACAAGATACCAGCTGGACATAAATGTGGAGTCGTTTATCAAATCCCATGCAAACTCTGCAATAAAACATACATAGGAGAAACTGGATGCCAACTCAACACAAGAACAATAGAACATAGAAAGGAGGTGAGAAAGAAACAAGTCGAAGACACACAAGAGCAGCAAAAGAAGAAGCAGAAAGCACAATAAAGAAGTCAGCCGTAACAGATCACTGCATAAGAGAGAACCATATAATGGACTGGGACAACACAAGGATCATAAACACCGAACAACAATACAAAAGATGGATAAAGGAAGCTATAGAGATAAGGAGATGTGGATGTGAGACCATGAACAGAGACGATTATGGAGTAAATTTTATGTCAATAAGGTCTTGCGAGAGCACGCACAATCACGAGTGGATAATTAAACATCCGTGAGAGGATAAGTTCCCATCCACTAGCGCTCAAAAACCCTCCGCGCGTGTTTTAAACTATCCGCGAGCGCGAAAAAGATCCTTGTGCGTGTTTAGAAAGACCCTAGAGCAGACTGTATCCAGTCAAGCACAGACAATTGTTCCTGTCGCTCGTAAGTGTGGGTACTACGCGCGTGGAACTGTTAACACATGCTCGCGCAGCCTGCTCTGCTCTCGAGTAGAAATTCCGCTCTATCGGACAAGTTTCACTTTTGACAGATTGGAGGGCGGGTTCCAAGGAGCCACCCTCCCTAACGTGATTGGTCACTTTCAGACAGAGATCTTTTCCACATTTTCCCACAGTACTTGTTTACGTGCAGAAAACATATCCTCACAGAACAAGGCTATCCCAGCATGCATCTCTAATTTCCCTCTGGGATTAATAAAGTATCTTTGAATTTGCGCGCCGGCTGTGGTTTTTCAACAGGAAGAGAAAATGGGGAGAACTACGACGTTTTAAACGTAAGTTTGTTTAAAAACTAGCATTAGAAAACAAAAAAGCTTAAAGCGGTTCTGTTTATAGACATTTTTCGTTTGTATATTTGTTTTTTTAAATGAAATTTTAAGCAGAAATTAGCCAGAACGAGTTTGTATAGCGAGTCCCGTAGTCATTGCCGCGCGTGCGTGTGTGCGTGCGTGTGTGTGTGTGTGTGTGTGTGTGTGTGTGTGTGTGTGTGTGTGTGTGGCGAATTAAACTTGTCATTTGTTTTAGGGACAACAGAAAGTTTTTATTAAACTTAGATGTGAAGAGTGAAGCTGTTTACGACTACAGTAGTTAATCGTGTGTTCTGCTGTGAAAAGTAGTTTTACATTCAGGGATTCACACAGCTGACACCATTTTAAACAACAATTAAAAATTGTGTGTGTGACGAAAATAATTGTATCTTCTCATGTGGATAAATGTAAAAATGTGTTTATTGCCTTTTTGTCACCTGCAATCTGATTTCTCTGTAGGACTGCAGGTGTCCAGGGTCAGGAGAGGCTTTACCTAGTGGTCCTCCTGGGAGAGAGGCCTTTACCCCCAAATTCCACTACCTCCGCTCCGCTCCGGTCCGCCCCCGCCTTCCGCAGCCACTGGCTTCCAAACTCAATTTTTCTTGGTACCCGCTCTACAACGGCTCCGCTCCGGTGCGGAGACCTGAGGTGGGCAAACAGGCATGCGCGGGATTTTCGAGATCTTGCGATACTGTCCGAGCAATAAACGCGGAAGTTAGATCCAAACACCCGTTGTGTGGGAGAAGCATCGAAATGAACTGTTTAATCTGCCCATCATTTGTGTTGAGAGATCAGCAGTGTTTGGATCAACAAAGTGTGACTACTTTGATAGTGGAAACTGTATTTATGGCTTACTTTTGTGCATTTAAAGTTCAGCCCCCATTGATAGTTGTTAAAAGTTGTTAAACCTGTGCATATGAAACAAAAAACGCTTTTTGTTTATCGATTTATTGTGAAAAACGGAAGTTGTGCTTGCTCCTTTTCCTGTTGGGCGGTTGTGATTTCTGTCCATTGACTGTGGAGGTGCTCCGGCGTCTGGCAAAAATAGAATCGATCCTATTTTTGCCGGAGCACGGCCGCAGTAGTGGAATTGCTCTGATTGACTACAACGGGACCGATTTTGCTGCGGAGTTCGTGCCGGAGCGGAGCGGAGGTAGTGGAATTTGGGGGTTACTGTCATCATGTTAATGTTATTTAGTTGTTTGATATTTGAACACATTTATTAAAACAAATGCTAACTGGTAACTCTTTTGATCATTCCTTTTGTCACCAGTTTATTATTACAGATGTTTTTGAACATGTTACATGAATCGAAAATGAAAAGATGGTAAGGAGACAAGATTATTTATAATACATTACAAGTATTTGCAGATCAAAACATATATGGACCAGTTATGTACGGTTAAAGCAGGATTAACCTGAGTGACTCTTCCTGGATCATTTATTTAAACTGAGTGAGCAGGAAGTCTTTAACAGTGCAGCTGGATCTGCTGCAGGAGGATCCAGACGTGGATGGAGGGCTGGAGCAGACCCGTGGCTGGACGTTTCTGGTCAGAGGAACATCATATAGGACGGTCTGCAGAGAGAGCTTTGGGACGCTTCCTCTCACTGTCCACTCCATCGTCCATCTACAGGGCCTGCTGGGCTGGCTCAGACAACGGCTGTTACATCTCTAAGAAGTATACAGAAATATGAAATGAGGAGATAGTTTATGGATCCACTAGTATAACAGTTGTGATGCTTTAGCAAATAAGACCACAGCGTTGTTTTTAATAGAGGTTCTTATATTAAGGACTTGCCTGTTAACAGCAGTGGTGGTCTGCTGGTACCTCCTCCAGGACAGAGCACCACTGACCTCCTCCACACACATCTTCCTCAGGCTCATCCTCGTGTGTTTGTCCAGGCCCACAACTTCACCAGCACTGATGC